CGCCTCACATACGTGAAGTTGAAAGATAAATCAACCACTGGATTTTCGAAATCTAAGTGCGGATTTATAAAACTTTCTCGGCAGTGAGGGAAAACATCGTGAGGAAATCTGCACATCTATAGTATAGATGTGTAGCCGTAATCCAATTTGTCTGGTCCCCTGTCTAAAGGTCACGAACTCGCTAATTCCTGGATCATGGTCGTACCCTGGGCCACAAAGCAAGAGCTTGGGGAGCAAAAAAGTTAATAGTAAAGCAAAGAAGCTTAATGGACTGGATTTATCCTTTTATCCTAATAATTTTCATCGCAATTCTTTTTTCGCTGCTCGCAATTCTTTTTCAATTCTCTTAGACACAATAACATAAAGTTCCTTGTAAGACTTTGTATGTAACTTATAAGTACGCCACACTTCAATAACTACCTTTTGTCCGTTTCGTACTTTTGTATTTGTATGATATTCTTTAAAACTTTCGAATAATTTTGGTATAACTTGAATTTGTCTATATTAGATAATATTTTAAACCATTGACATTGGCAGGTGTAAAACAAACATAAATTTACAACACGCCAATCCAATGATACCGAACGGAACCAATATAATATAAATATATAATACCAATAATACCGAATAGCGCGTGCGGTAATTCTCGTATTCGTGTGAGTGGGTAAAGGTGGATTCACAATGCGTTTTGAGGAATCCCTGAATATATTTTTCTCATTTGAGCAGAGACCACTTTGGTTTGCAGGAATCGCAGAGCCAGCAACTTGTGAAATTTTATGCCGCGTCCGCACGCACGCACGCTTGGCAAATCTGAACAAGCCGTCACAAATTCAAACGTGTGGATAGTGTGGATTGCGTAGTTTTGCAAGCGCTTGTAGCCGATCCGTCGAGTGTTGATTTTTTATCACACATCAAAGGGAATCTGCCGCAAGCGTTTGCGACGCGTCTACATGTTTGTTGGCACTCAGTCTCGTTTGTGCACTGGTGGCGAAAATAAGTAACTATAATAAAATAATTTAATAATTAGCTGGTACGGTTTTTATAATTTATAATAAAAATAACTTAAGCTGAATGCTATGACCGACACTGCAACCTGGATGTCCGTCATGCTTGCCTCTTCAGAACAAACTAATGCACTCGCAAGCGTGTGGACGGCGAAGTTTGATTCTCAAAATCATGCCAAACGTTTGTAGGGATTTGGAGTTTGCGGCAAATGTCAAACGTGCGGACGCGGCATAAGTTTAGGATGGATTTGTCGTGGTCATCATGGACTTGCCTGTTTATCGCAGGATGTGTCGCAGGCGGGTGAGGTTGGCACTTAAAGAAAAAGTTAATATAATCACCATTACACACCCCACATTAATCAATATTTTAGCTTTAAAAATTTCCGGCATCATGCATTTAATATAGTCCGCTGTTAACGTACTCATTGGCTGTGGGGTGTTCACGTTTGATATACAAGCCATGATAAGGCCACACGACACTTGCTACCCCTTCTGGTAAGGGTAGTTACCCTTCCTCTTTATTGATTAGCGCCGCTAATTATGCTTTGTTTTTACCATGATGTACTTTCATAATTATTAAGGTTTAAATAAAGTGTTATTAGATATGTGTTGTTAATACTTAATTTTCACTATTTACCGTTAATATCGTCTTGTCTTACTGATATTCTGCTACACAAAACCGAAACGTCGCCACAATTTTCTACGTTCAAAAATATTATGATTGGATATCGTATAAAAACAGCCACTGCTCATGACTATGAGTGTTATTTCTTAGTAACAACATTTTCAAGAAACCTTGTAGTTCGTAGACGTTACCTAGTCGAACTATAAACTCCTCAATAGTCTCAATTTTGAGGTCATGAGCGATGACGTCATTATTGGGACTTTAGCCTTAGCTGTCATGTGCTATCAATGTGTAGCTTGAACCAATCTTAAGCGGAAGGAAGACTAGCTATCCGCCCCCCCCCCCTCGCACGGTTGTTTTCTGGATCTCGATATAACAGCGTCTACCGGGTCCAATTGTGTATCTAAACCATCCACAAAGGCCCAACTCAAACACCCAAAAAATTCATCAAAACCGGTCGAGCCATTTTTGAGTTTTAGCGAGACGAACGGACAGCAATTGATTTTATATATAGAGATTAATTAATATTATAGGTACATAACGGAATGCAACAGTCTAAAATATGTTCAACATTTTATATAAAGAGATTAAATATTACAGGTACATAACGAAATGCAACAGTCTAAAATATGTTTAACATTTTATTTATAGAGATTAATTAATTATATGTACATAACGAAATGCAACAGTCTAAAATATGTTCAACATTTTATATAAAGAGATTAAATATTACAGGTACATAACGAAATGCAACAGTCTAAAATATGTTTAACATTTTATTTGCACAACATACTATTTAATTGGTTCCTTATTTGAGGTTCCTAAGATTTGTTGTTGAGATGTTTTGTTTTGCGTAGTTTTTATTGCTTCACGTACTTCTTAAGTCGTCTGTAGCTAAGCTAAACTTAAGTTAGATTTTGATTAGTTTGAAACTTCGTAGAATAAAGTCTAATAAGGTTCGATATCTCGAAACGAAACCAGTAGTAAAATAATTGCATTTTACTATTACAAGGGTATTAGTATATTTTTAAACGTTTGTGAGGCGTATTGCGGTCAGTCAGAGACCCTTGCATCACCCATTCGCCCGTATTGGTCTCAGCAAATCGAATCAATCACGTAGTTTTATCAACTCTTGATTATTAACGGCTTTGCATCATTGGAATAAATAACACATATAAATACAATGTTAATATGTGTTATTTTACTCGAATAATTCTTGTAGTGGCGGTGCGGTATAAGAATATTTACTATCGCATTTCATCTCTGGGCTTAGACCAGTAAGTCTCCGGGTGTCAGTCGTCTGAGGTGACGGTATACGAGGCGACTGAGAGAATTTAGATAGGAGATGGGCAGAAGTATTTTTTTTTAATTTTTATTAGGAGATAAAATTAAAAAAAATACTGCGGTTGCCAACCTGCCTGCCAAGCGTGACAACTATGCCAAATGTCCTCTCCATGAGGCAATCTATGCGTTGCCTACGTTTAGCGGTCGACTTTTGATATAGATTGACTACAGGCTGTGATAATTGTGATGTTGATGACTCGAGTAAGTCCCGTGCTACCAGACGAGCTAAGCGTTTGCCGTAAATTTACACACAGTACGCATGCAGCTCGAGTTCGATCCCCGTAGATGAAATGAAACTCATGAAGTTATTAATTGTAATTTTATGTGCTGCGTAGATCGGACGTGTTCGGCGGTGAAAGAAAACACTGTCGAGAAACCCGCATGTCTGGAGAATAAAATAGTTCGACGACACGTCATGTAAAGGCCGCAAATGCGGATTGGAGCAGCACGGTGGACTAATTTCTCCACAAATCCACAACCCTCTTAAAAGTTAAAGAAGACTAGTGCCCTACTGTTGAACGTACATAGACTGCAACGCTACTTTTACCTTTAACTTTACAACCTATTCAATATCACTACTGAACATAGCCCTGCCCCATAAATTGCCTCATAAAGGGGACATTTGCCATAGTTGCATCTGTTGGCAAGCGGGTTGGCAACCGCACAATGAAAATTATTTTATTTTTAGTTGTTATCAGGAAGACGCTGCTGCCCATCTCCTGATTTGTTTCCCTCTGTCGCCTCTTACCATACCCACGGGACGATATGGGCTAGTGGGTATTGTTACACCGGCACTACACGGTAATTACTTTTAAAATAATTAGATACCAACTATTCTCCTCGTTTCTCTAAAATCGATAGGGATTATGTGTTGATTGTTCGGGTGCGCCATCCTTATGATGGTTCCATTGATGCTTACTGCTACTTGCGGTATTACGTCTTGTGATGGATCTGCGGGTGTGCTGCGCCTGATTCGACGCATCTTGTGGTTCTGGTCGATGGAGGTATGCGGGTGGTGATGTCTGCTGGGATTGTATGGGGGACCTTGGGATGGTGTAAGCCCGACGATAGTCGTGTTGAAGATTGTTGCGTTTTCCAGCATTGCGTCTCTGTGATTGTTATTTGGTGGGTTGCTATTCTCAATAGACTGGACTGGATAGGATACTGTATTAACATCAATGGCGAGTACATCACTCACCTTCGATTTGCCGACGATATAGTCCTTATGGCAGAATCGCTGGAGGACCTAAGCACTATGCTCAATGACCTCAATGGTGTCTCCCAACGGATAGGTCTTAAGATGAACATGGACAAAACAAAAATCGTTAATGTCAAAGAGATTTAAATATATCAATCTCATAACAAGAATCGTATGTATTAATTACTAAGCCGCAAGTCAATTTCTAGCAGCGGTGTACGATGATTATTAATTAAATGCATTTGAGTAATTGAGTTTAACTGATCGTCCAATCTTGTAGATACGAAATGCGCTGTCTTTTTAATGTTTTGTTTCATGATTTAGTAGGATAAGCTAATATACAAATTTATATTAATTGTATACGCATGATTTTTATGGAGATTAAATGTGAAAGCTGTGTCAGTCTTACAATTTTACTCTGTCTATAAAGCGACATGTATTTTAATGAACTGTGTAGTAAGTAATAACGCTGTATATTATATGCGCTATGACACATTGACTACTTACTTTCACTTATTTCAATTGTGTTACATACTACATGTCATGATTACAATTCGCCCCGTTTCTTCTAGGAACTTAATATAATCGCGTGGGACATATGTTTCTCATCAGAAGTGTTAAATTATCTGATGATCTTCATTATGTTAAAAAAATTCTTTTTAATATTAGACCTATAAATCTAAAATCTTAGTTATAATTACATAGAAATGTGAACTCTAATTTCTTTTTGCATAATAACATTAATCCATATCATTTTATTGCGGACAATGCAGGTGTTTGACACCGAATTTTAACACAGTATTTAAAAATATGTTTTTGTTTGTTACAGTTCGCATCGCCCACGGCGGAGAGTGCAGCGTGCAGCAGCACATCATCATCCACTTCGTCGTCTTCATCTTCGTCCTCATCGTCATCATCTTCGTCAGACTCGGACACAGCGGAGGCCGTCGGCTCTGCTCACGTATCCGCTGACGACTCTAGCGCCGCCCTCGCAGCTGCGTGTCAGTTGCAGGTATGTAATGCATTTTTCCTTACACTTGAATCCTTGTGAACTGGACTGGACTCTGATCTTCCTTTAGCTGACCGGTTGTCCTTCGCAACTTTTATGATTAAAAGTAGTCGCGATCATGCAAGCTAAAGATTTTTAGTTGTATATTTAGTACTCTAGGGTCTTTGCCATCTCACGGTATCAGAAGTAATTAATGGAAGTAAGTAATAACTTTTCATTTAAAATTACAATTACTTATTTAATAACACTTATTAAAGTGTAAATAAATTAATTAATAAGTAATAGTAAATAAGTACAGTATATACCATAACAAAAAGGGCTACACAGGACGAACTAAATGCCTTAAGGCATTCTCTCCTGGATTTGATTTGAAATATAATTTTTTTTTTATTAATTTTGCCGTCATTCTCCACTAGATGGAATGAAAATCATATTGAATATTCGGGTCCGGGCTTTATGACGTCTTAAAGGAGTATTAGGCAGCCATATAATGATGCTCTGTTACGATATTTATAGAAATTTTGTAAGTCTCCTCCATGGCACGCCGGAAAAACGGATTGGCGTTTGCAGGGCCTAATATCGTACGTCTTGTAGTCATGTGGTTGAAATTATGGTACAATTTCTAGTGTTATAAATTATAGCAACTGTCTAAAAATAAAATACTCATTTATTAAAATGTTTTATTTTTGTTTTTTAAATGAATAATCGCGTCTTATAAATAAATTCAAATTCAAATTCATTTTATTCATTTGCGATATATGGGTTACAATAGGTCTTAATAATTTAACAAAATACAGCCATATTCTACCTTTCGGTATGCAAACTACTTAAATATTAGATTTTATTTATAATTAAAATTAAATGGAAAATGCCGATAATTACATTAACATAATATAACCCTATTTGTATATTTGCGCTACTAACATAATAATAATTCACAAAATAATGATAAAATACATGTAATAATTAAAATTGTAATGTCCAAGTAATAATGTCAAAACGAGTAGGTATAAATTGTCTCAAAATTAATAACATAGATAAGGTTTCGTTCAATAAATTTGATAGTTAAAATTTAAAAATTGTCATATAGATAATCGTCAATATTATAATAAGCTTTTATGGTTAAAAATGTGTTTAGTTGTTTCTTAAAAATGTGAAAGCTCTTAGAATCTCTTATATATTTAGGTAAATGGTTATACAGTCGAGGACCCATACAGAATACGCTTTTTTGAAACAAAACAGTCTTACTATTGGGATGGCTCAATTTATCTTTATGACGCTGGACATTTAGTTTTTTGTAAAAACTTAAGTTTTGACGTACAAATAAGACTACCTCATATATATATAGACATGGCATTGTTAATAATTTTAAATTAATGAAGTATGGCTTACAACTCTCACTTTGGTTAATTTTACAAATGGCTCGTAAGCATCTCTTTTGAGCTTTAAATACTGTTTCTTTGTCCGTACAATTACCCCAGAACATAATACCATATCTAAGTGTAGATATAACATAAGCATGATATGATGCCATTACGGCGGATGTGTCTACAACTTTTCCAAGCATATATAACGCATACGAAAAACGATTTAATTTCATACACACACTGCTCACATGAGACTGCCAGTTCAAATTGCAATCTACATTTATACCCAAAAATTTTATATTATCTATGGTATTGATTTTTTGTCCTAGATAATTGATATTTAAATTATTTATTTTATTACGTTTTTGATAGAATGTCATAAGTTTTGTTTTTTCTAAATTTATATTTAAATTATTTATGTTTAGCCAATTCATGATTTTCTCTAAAGCAAAGTGTATGTTACTTTCTAAATCTATTTTGTTTCTGCTAGTGAAAATAACTGTGCTATCGTCAGCAAATAATACTATTTTGTGATTAATGACGTTGGGAAGGTCGTTGATATAAATAAGAAACAACAATGGTCCTAAAACGCTTCCTTGCGGTACTCCAGTTTGTACGACTCTGTATTCAGAAACATAGGTCATTTCTTTTCTTGATTTTAGACAAATTTTTGTAATGTGTGTACTTTGTTTTCTGTTAACTAAATATGATGTTAGTAGATCTAGTGCATTACCTCGAATGCCGTAGGCTTCAAGCTTTTTGAGTAATATTTTATGATCAACATTATCAAATGCTTTAGTAAGATCCATGTAAAGTGCACATACAGGTATTTTATTGTTTGGGCTAGACATAACGGTATTAAAAAAATTGTATAGAGCCATATTTATAGTCTTATTTTTTCTAAATCCTATTTGTTCTTCTCTAAGAATATTGTACGTTTCAAGGTAGTTATATAAAGAGTTATAAATTATTTTCTCAAATACTTTTGAGAGCACAGGTATAAGCGCAATGGGCCTATAGTTAGACATATTCTCCCGATCATTTTTTTTGAACAGTGGTTTGACAATTGTAGACTTTAGTCTTTCAGGAAATATACCATTACAAATACATAAATTGAAAATATAACTAAGTACCGGAGCAATTGCACCGGATACGTATTTTAGAACTCTTGTACAAATTTCATCACAACCGGTACTGTTTGTGTTTTTAAGAGATTTTATAGCTTTATCTATATCAAATGATGTTGTGGGTGGTATAAAAATTGAATTGGGATTGTTAAAAGTTAACTTATATGGTTTATCACTATTTGGGCGGTCTTTATTAATTTTGTTGGTATAGAAATTATTAAATGCCCTAGCTATAACTAGAGGATCCTCAATTATATCACAATCAACAATAATTTTACTAATTGCTTCTTCATTTGTGCCATTTTTGTATTTATTTATAACTTGCCAGGTAGCTTTAGATTTATTTTGTGCTGTGTTAATATAGTAATTATTTTGGGACTTTTGGGTAAGTTTGATAATTTTGTTTAGACGTTGGGAATACTCTTTTAATATAGTTTTATTTTCTACGCTGCGTTTTTTTCTGTATTGCCATAATAACTGTCGTTTACGCTTAGTACATTTTTTTATCCCATTAGATAACCATTTTGTTTGTTTACGTGAATAGACTTTAATTTTAATGTCAGGAAAGCATAGGCGATAGAGGAGGGTAAACAAGTCATGAAATTATTTATTCAACGGGAAAATAGATCATATTATTTTCCCGTTGATATCTTTTGTAACATAATGATGTTGTTTATTTTTTATTCCAGTTTTAATTCCACCTTATCTTTTGGTTTATCTCATTAAAACATTGTTATTTTATTTCTATTTTCTTAATATAATTTCATAGCGGTCCATAAAATACACTATGTTTTAACCAGTCTCTTCATGGGCAGATTTTTAACAGATACAAAATTATTAAACATTTTGTAAAGTTTAAAACAAAACCTGACAGGTCATCGACGATGCGGACCTTGCGGAACTATTTCCGGAACAAACACCGAGCGCGTCGGCGCAACAGCCCAATTTCTCCAGTTTCCCTGTGCACAATACATCGCCCGACAATGACGACAAATCTATAGCTGATAATGGTAAGGCTCTTTATTATCAATTTAAGAAATTAATATATCACCTGTGAATGAATTATTCCTGCAAAATATGTATTATCTTGGATAGAGAAGTTTTGCGATACTTAAAAGTCCAGTTTTAAACTTCTATATTTAGATGGAATTATGTAACTTCAGTAGTTAGGTATTTTTGGACTAAGGTTACGTTATCTGGGTTAATTATGTAAACAATTATCTTCTAAAAATTATTTACTTATAACAATAATAATATGATGATTTCTTATATTTATACGAATACTACACATTGAATGAAACTGATTTTACGGATGCATTGTATATTATATTATCACATTTAATTTAATTTGATCTACTTACTTTAATTCCCGACGTTTCAGGTGCTTTACAGCACCCATAGTTACTAGGGGGACTGAGATGTTTGACGGACAACATACTTAATTCGGAGCTACCTTCAGCTTTTTAATATTATTTATGGTCTGATCTACGCAGTGTGAGTTTACAGTATCCTGAAGTATTACAGTGGAATGCTTGGGTTTGGGTTTAATTATATTAATTATAGCATAGTAAGCAGATGGTAGGACCCAGCTATCTTCTCTATTGTTTTCTACAGACTTAAAGAGGAGGAGGTATTCAATTCGACTGTATGTTTTTTTTGTGTGTTACCTCAAAACTTTTTTATGGGTGTTCCGATTTTGATAGTTCTTTTTTAATCCGAAAGCTGGTGCTTCTCGTGTGGTCCCATATAAATCCCATATAAAATATTGATCAAGATCTGACAAGTTTTTGAGTTATCCTTAAATAATGCATATTTAAGTTTAATTGACTTCGAATACATTGACTATGTTCTCATTTTATTTATATTTTTTTTAATTTTACCACTTGTTTATCATTAGATTATTTTATAATGTCAATACGCTCGCGAATCATTCTTTATAGGAATCGTTGTCCTTTTAAGGATTTTAAATCTGATATAATGGTGGGGACGATCTTGAACATGTTTACAGACTGTAGACCGTAGACGATTCCGACTGTGTATGTTCTTTTGAGCAGATTTCAAAAAAGATCGTTTAAAAATCGAACGTCAAACATCTCAGTTCTCTTGGGGGAGATTACGAAGATTAATGCCTAATTAAATAAGGCTTCGATGTGATGTTTAGAATAGTATTGTTAGTTAATGTGTTAAAATAAATATTGTCGTTATTATTTTCAGCAGACGGGTCGAGTAGTGAAATGGAACTTACACCACAGTTAGTAACAGCCGCAATTCAAAGAGCAACGGCTGACTCCTCAGGGTCAGAAAACGAGTGTTCCAATTCAGATGTAGTGAATCAAAACACAACACACTATGCTTCCAGTTTATTGCAACAGTTTGTAGCGCAAACGCAACTCTTAAGTAGTACAACTCCATTGAACTCAATTACTGCTTCCGCATCATCATTAACAAGTGGGCTTGCCACAAATCCTAATGACAGCGTCAGTACGATCAGTGATTGTGTTCTGGGACAGATTAACAATCTTTCCGAAATACCACCCATGGGATCAAATTTTTTAAGCACTTCCTCACAACATTTAAGCCCTCAACAAACAGAAGAATTAACACAGATCAACAAAGATCTTGAAGAAATAACCTCCGTAACAGAATCTGTAGGATTGTCAATACAGAATCCTCCAAGTCTCGAAGATTGTGTTGATAACAATGATTTTATGAATTTGGATATAACACCAGGGGGGTCGGAATTAGGTAGTGCAAGTGATTTATTAAAAAGCTCGCCTATAACCGTTATTGGTTCCGACATGAACTCATTAAACCAAATCGATAATCAAAAGTTAGACACAATCAGTACGAATTCCGTTGAATCTCAAGAGGATGTAAAAAATATCATTGTAGAATCCAGAAGAAAAAGAGGGCGACCTCGTAAAGTAAGGAAAGTCGGTGAGTTTGAAAGCAAAACAATTGAATCTCATAAAGAAGAAAAGTCTGCTGTGAATGTTCTAAATGACTTTCACAATAACAATGATCCGCCGAACGTTTCACCAGATTCGGGCATTCTGTCAAATCACAATTCACCTACTCATTCGCCATTGCGGCGACATGACTCAGACGAAAGCCAAAACAGACTAAGCAGAAAGTCGATTCAAAAAGAAAATAATACGATAGAAAGGACAAATATGCGATCAAAATCAAAAACCAGAGGCAGGGGTCATAATTTGTCGGATTCAAGTGATTGCGATTTTCATAAGAAACGAATAGAAAATGAGATTAAACAAATAAAAACGGAAGCTCCGTCGCCGATACCTTTAAAACAAGAACCAAACAAATTTGAGAAAAACAAAAAATCCGATCATAAATTAGATATTGCTGCTTTAGATAGAATGTTGTACGCTACAGATAGAGTTCTTTATCCACCAAGGAAAAAAGCAGGCCGAAAGCCACAAAATAAAGTTAAAGTAACAAAAAATTCTCCTAAAACATTAAAAGACAAAAACCAATACGACTCGGGTGACAGCGACGAAGATTCCATTCCCTCTAATAGGTCTGTGTTGTCAGGCGTATATGCAAAGAGAAAAGAACTTAATAGCAAACTTTCTAACTTACCGAAAAAATCCAGTAAAACTTCTACAAATACGTGGAGAGATAATCAAAGTGAAAATGAAGCAGCAGCAGATGATCCATTAGATCCTACGTGGAAGCAAATAGATCTGAATCCAAAATACAAAGATATTCTTTCGGGTTACAAAAGTGATCACGAATTTAAACCTTACAAAAGTTGTAGTAGACTTATTGAGTCGGGCTATAAAAGCGACTACGGCTGTAGATCAGGATATAAAAGTGATTGTTATCGCTCTGGTTACAGAAGCGATCATCGATCCGGATATAAAAGTGATAAATCTGGCTACAAAACGGATTATAGCGTTAGAAGTATGCGGAGACGTATGAGAAAGTTAAAAAAGACGCGGTCAGTTCGAGACAGATCATACTATAAAAATCAGAAACATTTTGTTTCAGATCAAGAAATTTTGCTATTAACAAACAAAACTTTTAGCAGTCTTACATTAGGTCACAGCTCAAGTGACTCTGAGTGTGAAAGCTACTTACGCAAACCAAACGCAAGTCCAAAGTATGTAAGCGTTTGTACAAAATACCCTTTACCTTCGAAATATGATTTCGGATTTTCAAAAATTAATCAAAAGCATGTCTTAAGGCTAAACTCCTCTGATCCATTCGCACCAGGTCCGGTTTTTAGTGGTTTGCAAAGGCCTGTTACTACATATAATATATTTAAAGTGAGTCATAATAATAACAACAACACTTTACTAAAATCTCCTACTAAATCTGCCTATATAGGTAGCTCTTTGCCAAGTCTTAAACCAGGTTTTACTCATAAGTTTGGTACACCCCCTATAAGCACTTTAGGTAAAGCTGGTACAAAAAAAGACTCCGATATAGTGAAACATATTTCGCAAACATTATCACCAAAAGGTCGTAAATACATAAAAACTGGAAGTTCGTTGTTTCCTTCGCCTACAAAGAAAGAAAATGCGCTTAAACCTCTTCCTAGTGTTTTCGAAAAAGCAAGAAATACTTATGTGCCCAATAAATCACTATCGAGAAATGTATTTTTCAATTTCAGAAAGCCTAACATAAAGCCCTCTTTTCATATTAAAAAACACAGAAGAACAGTTGTACTTGCACCACCAAAAATAAATTTGAAACCAACTGAAAGACCTTCAAGGATATCAATTAAAACTGAGAATAGACACCATAGACACAGAAGTAAAAGGCGGCATCGATCGCGATCAGTATCGAGATGCCGCGACTCTTATGCGATTAAAAATAATGTTGATTCAGTTGATCAAAAATTTTGTCAGGATATGGATACGCTTATATCCAATTTTATTAAATTATGTCAGGTTGCTCCCAAATTAATCACAAATATAACACAAAATCAACCAAAATGTACAGAGAAGCCTATGTCAGAACCTCCTCCACCTAAGGTGATCAAAAGAGCATCCAAAAAGCGTAAGACATCCGACAATCAAGAAATTGCAACTCCTACTTCAAAACGAAGACATAAGAAACAATTAACGGAGTCACAAAATAAAGGCGGAAAAGACACAAATGAGCATAAATTACCACTGAAAAAGAGACATTATCATATTAATTCATCAACTAGTAATTCTCTTAGTCTCAGTTTAGTATCCACTGAATTTGACGAAAACTCAAAAAATGGAGTTAGTACTGAGCAATTTCTCTGCATGAAAACTGACTGCATGGGTGAAATCCAAAATAATATTTCTGACGATTCTCCAAAAGCAAAACCAATAAGTGAAAAGGGTAAAAAAGTTAGTGATAATTCAAAAGCTGTTCAAACAAGTAATGTGCAAGAAATTAAAGGCCAGAATGCCGATAACGCTTCTAGAACTACAAAGGTAAATGTTAGTACAACAACAGAAAACCTTGAAAACCTTCCGACAGACGAAAATAAAACAACTGCCCAAAAAAACCTAGCTTCAATAAATGATGTTGAAAGTGAATCGCCTACAAAAAAGTTAGAAACGTATAATAAAGGTGCAAACAAAACAGTCAACGATTTGGAGAAGTCGTCGCCGAAGACTAAAGACTCAGAATTAAAAACAGAACTATCAAAACAGGAGACTACTCACAAGAGTTCTCCAAGATCAGAAGTTAAATCATCTCCTGTGAGAAATTGTGCACCAATCGTAACTCCAAAAAAACGTCATAGATTAGAAGCTGACAAAGCAGCTACTCACTCTAGCTTGGATCAAGTAGTTCAATCATTATCAAAAAAGTTATCTGAAGACAAGTCCTCGAATATAAATAATAATAAAGACGTAAATCAAAATAACGCAAAGGAAGATACCAAAGACGCTGAATGCTCCGTTTCTGCATCTCCATCAAATCTTCTTTCAACAAGCACAAATACTTCCGTGGATCCATTAAAAAGTATGTCAGCGCGTTCATTATATAAAAGTGCCATTCCACCAGCTCAGAAGTCAGAAATTATGACAAGAAAGAAAAACAGGTTAGAGGGCTTAACAAGTAATTTAGTTTCAAAAATTAATCCAAGCGCAGCTACAAAAGTTCTAGATACTTTATTAAATAATAATATTAGGAAGTCAATTGAATCTCGTATTCTTGAAAAAGAGAAAGTCGTCACGGAAAGCACGACTAAGATTAACGAAGATAAAACTAAGAACAAAGAATCTCCCCAAGTAAATACTAGAGCTACTGTTATCAAATCGCCAGTATCTAAAGGAAAAGTTATAGATCTAAAAAAGTCAAAAACATCTGAAGTAAACACCGAAACAACAGTTGTTGTTAATGTCGACAAACCGACTGGTATTTTTGAACCGTCAATAGACTTAGAAGATCAAATACCCAAGTCGTCAATCTGTGTTAGTAATGCCATAATTGATAAAAGCAAGTGCAAAACGAAGGTTACCGACAAAAACACAGATTCATTGTTATGTCCTCTTGACAACGAAGCGGATATTCCACTATCATTAATATCTGAAACAGCAGACCCAATTATTAGACCCAAAAGAGGTGAATCGATTGCCGCCGTGTTATCTGATAAAATTCAGGAAACAGCTAGTGGTCATAATTTACGACAGCCCAAAAGAAATCTGAGTATTGAAAATGAAGACACGAGTGATAAGAAAAAAAAGAAAACACCCAACAACATTATAAAAGAGAGTAAATTGGTGTTGCCAGCAAAAGTGTTGCTTCCGAAAATTCAAGCGGAAAAATTACCAGCCGTTGAATTGACTAAGAAACCGAATGTACTCGCGACGAAGAAAGTAGAACCTGTAGATGTCGCTGCTGGTAAAAATGCGGAAGTTTCTAAAAGGAAAGCCAGACGGAGGAAGGCTATAAACCGTACAGGTTTTCCCAATATCAAAAAGAAAAAAAAGAAAGTTGATTGTAATAATGCTTCCAATGTTAACTCTGATAGTCATTTCACTTCTGACACGGATAACTCTGCATTTGAGAGGGTGCCGAAAGTTGGAGAGGCTATGAGCAGTTTCTTAGAGCGAACTACAAATAAAAAAGTTGAACTGAAAGTGGTGCTAAATAAAGATGAATGTCCAAAGCAAGGTCGTTTAACAGTTATTGCTCTTGAAAAATTACAAGGAAAAGAGATTGTAACGGAAAATAAAATCAAACCAGTTAATAATTTTGAAAAAAATGTGGGCGAGAAAAGGGTTATTTCTAATTCCATTCTCAGAGCACCAGCACTGCAATTGAAACAGACTAAGAATGACAAGGAAATGAAGAATCATGTCAATAAATGGGAAGTTTTAAGTGAGACGGACAGCATACCATCTTTAGCCAGTTCCCTGAGCAATGACCCTGAAGATAGCATACCCTTAAGTTTGCTTAATTTAAAAGCTGACAAACCAATTAGTCGGTTAGACAGTTTGGAAAGATTGAAACGAAAAACTCGGGCTATGTCACCGTCGCATGAAATAGAGGAAATATTTTCGAAGAGGAAAGTCGTAGAAAAAATTGTCAAACCGGGCCTTCGACCGAAATCCAGTCTAGCAGTCCTATATCCTATCGAGAGAAGATTAACGAGAAGTTCAGACAACGCCGCTGAAGATATTAAAAATAAATCTAAGAAAGAAACAAAGAAATCGCCACTAGATGTCGGTATGGAGAAGTCGAAACCAGTTAATGTGGCAGTTAGGCGAAAGTCAAGATTATGTCAGGCTACCAAAAAACTGCATGAAGTGCATTCAAGTTCACGAGAAAGTTCATTAGATACAGTTGTTAGCCGCAAAGTAACTTCAAAATCTCGTGAGCCATCAATCGATACACTTCAGGATCATGACGAAAATGACCCTCTGCCGCTTAACGAAAAGGAAATTGACTTTGAAAAAAGCATAGATGTACTTTCTAAAAACATTATCTGTAAGAAACGGGTTGCTTCGTCGAGAGACGACAGCCCCGCTAGTAGCGTTGATAACAAAGATAAACCGATTGTCTCTAAAAGAAATCCGCGACTAAGGAAGAAATTTTTGCCAGCTGGATTATTCTCCGATTATTACAAAGAAGAGTAAGTACTTTTTCTCACGTATCTTTATTTGTTAATATAATTTAGTTTGTAATGCGCCCTTTGTATTCTAGTCCAAAACCGGAGAGTAAGGGAAAGAATCTAGTGGCGCAGACGGAGTTCTCGCCGGGCTTGTTAGCTCCGCCACCATACTGCGAGCGTTGGGTACGACGGCGTCTGCAACATTTTGCACTACCTTACGATATCTGGTGGCAGCAACATTACAATCAACCCGTGCCTTCGTGGAACTACAAGAAAATTCGCACAAGTTAGTATTGCATGCAAATTTTTGTTGATATATCGACAATTATTTACTAGTATGGTAAATTGTAATTAAGTATGATTACTGCTGCATTTGGAATAAAAATTATTTTTCTTTCTTTATTTATTTATTTTATTTTAAAAAACGTTACCTCCACACTAGGATTTTCTCCTGTATCGTGGGGGCAGTTTACAAACAAATTTCACAAGGACAAACATCCAGACCCGTAACAATTACTTGTAGAGTATATATAAATACTTGTTCCGTGCGGGATTCGAACCCGCGGCCCGTAGCGCTGTAACTCATTGCTAAGCCACTGCGCCACGGAGCCGTTAAATTCATTATTTAGCCTATTAATGTCCCATTGCAAGTCACATGTATCAATTTTTATGGAGAATAGGCCCATGTCCAGTGGTAAATTTTTATGATCTGATAAAAAATAAGGAGAAATAAATTGGCATCTGTTTGAGCCGATGCGATTTGTTATTGTATTTGACATGTTTTTCAATTTAAAATTACAATTAACAATTCGAGTGTTGCCGCTACTGCAGTGCAGTAGACACTCAAATTGCTTGCATATTGTAAAATCTAAGTTGTTTTTTTCGTTCTATCTGTTATTTTAATTATTGCTCAATGCTATATCTTCATCTTTCTTTCAATTTAATTTTTTTATAGCCTATCAAAAGTCCACAGCTGAGCATAGGCTTAGTTTTTTTTTTTTATAGGATAGGGTGACAAACGAGCACACAGTCCACCTGATGGTAAGTGGTTGCTGTGGCCCATAGACATCTACATCTATCCTCGAATACGAATCAAAACGCAGATGCGTTGTCACCCGTGAGGACTAAGATGGAATGCCTCATTTCCAGTAAAAAGGGTCTCCGGTTCTCTACCTACTACACAGCATTAAGCTACTATTTCACGCTGGTATTCTGTGAGAGCGTGGTCCTTCCCCGGCCGAGCCGACCCATTCGTGCTACAACCATACTACTAATATAACTGCAGCATGGCTCTACCACGTCTAAAACGTGGATCCTTGGAGTCCTTCCTCTATGGATTGTCTCGTTATCCTTCTGTTATGTCTATATGGATATTTGCCATAGTTGTCTACGCTCGATTATTTTAATTTGGACCAGGAGGATGCTGCTGCCCATCTCGTTTCATTTCTCTCTGTTTCCTTTTATGACATCCACGGGAAGATAATATAGGGTAGTGGAATGAATTCTGTATCAACATCAATGGCGAGTACATCGATCACTTTCGACTTGGTGACGATTTATTCATTACGACAAAACTGCTAGAGGACTTTAGCCACTATGCTTAATGACCTCAAGTGTCCCCAGCGGTGCTTGTTGCAAGTATGTTTATAGACTTCAATAAGAGGAAATCCACAGCAGTACCAGAGTTACGCCTTTAGTACACTTACGCGTTGGTATGCGGTAGCCAGTCACTGCGGAACTACTGCGGTAGCGAAATAACTACGGAACGTTAGTACACTGCAGTTTTTTTGCAAAGAAATGTCATTGTAATTTTCGTAGACTGCGGGTACAGACGTCATTTAAAAATCGTCGCAGTCATCGCTTTCAGATTCTAAAGAAGAAGATTTATTGTTGCTGGTAATACTGAGTAAATTCAAAAATATTTCAATATTTTCGGCTTCCATGGTGCGAAAATCTCTCCTCACCGACAGAACGAATGCGGACGCCTTGCGATGCGAAACACCACTAGCGAAACGTCTGCGTCTGTGTAACGACGATTTCGCAGTTCGTTGCGAAACAATACCGACAGGGACGCCACCATTTAATCTATAACAGTGCTTAAGAGAGACAACATATGCGAAACTTTGCCATACTATAATTGCCGACATAAGTCGTGAGCACACTTTTTATTGGTCGGTTCGACGTTGACCAACGCTGACGTTCAACGTGATTGGTTCATCAGTCAATTCTCGTCATCTATTGGTTTCGAACGTATCATTCGGCTACCGTACATGTCAGAGCAATAATTTTAGTGATAACTTTTTTAATTAGTTTATTTTCATTAATAGCTTTTGTTACCTCGTTGCTAATTGTAGTTTGTGTATTCCTTGTTATTAAATGTTTTTGTTACTTCTTGTTTTTAATTATTTTTATTGTTATAAATTGAGTGTTCAGATTTTGGTCTAAATATGCAGAGAAGGAAGAATTCGGTGTTAAATAGACAATCCGACAAATGGTCTATTCAGTGTTTAGTTACATGAAAAAATTAGGTACTGCGAAAAACATCATAGACGTATATAAAAAGACTGCTGAGGCGACTAATATCTCAGTAGCTACTGTACGGCGCACCGCAACACCAGATTTTATGGAAGGCATATCACCTCTTCCCTTCTTAATAAAATAATCAATTCTAACCACCAGGTATACATTAAGTACTTTATAGTAGATAATAAAATAACGGACACGAATATCTGCAACATTACTGTATAAAAGTAAAAGTTGATGTGTTCGAGTAAACATTTTCATAAAAGCCGGCGAAAATATTCAATTACGAATTGAAATAACAAAGGTGCCCAATAATTTTGCCCGACAGTGTACCTACCTCCCACCAGTTTATCACATCGTGTGCACTCACGACTCGTGTCGGCAACTATACTGACAGTTTTTTCGTTGTTTCGCAGCCGCATACGAACGCGTAGGTGTAATAAAGGCGTTAGTGACGTAATCTATCAAAGCAGTAAGCTGAAGTGGCCATGGACTCGACATATAGTTCGAATAACTGTTAACTGATGGGGAAGGCTTTTTGAATGCCAGCCTTGTCAATTGTAAGGCGTCTCTCCACTAAATGGAGTCCCTACTCAGGAACAAAATTTATGGTATTTTTTGGGGGAAAACTGTGTACAGCAGTGGACTTTTCATAGTCTTTAATGATGATGATGAAGACGACGATGATTTTTGCCATGATGCCAATGGTAGACAACTTTATATTCGTATCGCAAACTTTTCAATTAAGATGCTCTACAAAGTGAGATGATATCAGGTTACAAAGTTGATCATTGTGTACAGACGTGTACTACGACGTGAAGCCGTCGGCGGAGGAGTGCGAGAGCGTGGCGTGCAACTGCGCGGCGCCGTCCGGCTGCAACGAGGACTGCATCAACCGCCTCGTGTACTCCGAGTGCTCGCCGCAGCTATGTCCTTGCGGGTGAGCTGCACACTATGCACATACACGACACACATACACATATACAACATATTGTACGGTTCACAGAACCTCAAGTGCTGTATTAATATATTGAAGAAGTATTAGGATATTTGCATTTAACGAAAAATTATTTTCTAAACGTGGATAATTTAACTTTATTTAGCAAAGCATCACCTGTGATATAAAAAATGTGGACTTTTTATAGAGGATTTGCTGTGTAAATAGCACTTGAAATGTCATTATAAAACATAGTATATATACTTAAAAATATTGTTCCGTAATTTTAGTAATCTCTACGTCTTACTTTTGCAGTGACAAATGCAAGAATCAACGCATTCAGCGTCACGAATGGGCATCGGGACTAGAGAAGTTTATGACCGAGAACAAAGGCTGGGGAGTGCGCACGAAAGATCGCATCACTTCCGGAGATTTCATTTTAGAATATGTGGGCGAGGTCGTCTCTGATAAGGAATTTAAAGTGAGAAACATCTTTGTGATAACCTGATAAGCCTGTCATTCTGTGAATTTTACTGCTTAAAAATAAATCTTTTTATCATGCAATCTAATTTTGTACAAATATTTGTCATACCATTTCTGCTGGTTATGTTATACATTGTTATGAATGTACATATTAAATTAGTTTACTATGATTCAATTAATATTAAAACAAAACCCTTAATATTTTTGATAGGGTTTGGAGTAGGGAACAGTCAACGAAACTTCTCCGTTACGCATTGTCGGACTTTACATGGCATGGCCTCGAAATATTTTATTTCTCAGACTTGCAGATTTCCACACGATGTATTTCTTAACCCTCAAGCACGTGATAAATAAGCACTTCAAATTGTAATTAACAATCTCATTGGTACTGGTGATAAGCGAACAAGCTACTACGAATGATAATTACTATAAAGTTAACTTTGTTAATTCTAATCGTTTAATTCAATTGCAAGCACGAACCTGAATATTTTGTTTGATTGTCGAGTGACGTTGATTTGATTTTTCGGATTAATTCGTCTAGCTGTGCTTGCAGTATTGGTACCTTACAAGTAAGCAAAGTTTTTAATGCCTACAAATAGTCGAGTGATGACTGTGTAGAATTTCACAAGTTGATTACAAATTTATTAATTTAATTGAGTATTGACTCTAGGTTATAAGAAACAATAAATTATGTACAACATCTGTCAATCACAAGTAAAGAAGAATCTAAACAACATATAATAACATAATGTAAGAGTTATGTTAATAAATAAGTGCTCAGTTGCTCGTAGCCCTTAGCGAAGACTGTCACGATAACTTGATGAACCGTGTAAGTTCCATGGGTGTTGCAATAGGTGATAATAACTAAAGATAATGAAAAAGTTATGGCTGCCAACCTGTTTGTCAAATGCATTAACTATGGCAAGGTCCTCCTGTGAAGCAAATTTTTTTATGGAATAGGTGACAAATGAGCACACAGTCCAACTGATACATAAATGGATGCTGTGGCCCATAGACATTTGGGTTTAACCTCGATTAAGAATCAAAATGCACATGCGTTGTCACTTTTGAGGACTAAGATGGATTATGAAGACGGCTGCTAGTTTGAATGTAGTCTCAAATGTTACACTGAGATAAACATGGTCATACTACACTCGGCGTCACAAAAATCGCACCTCTTTAAATTTTTACTTCAAACTACTTTTAAATCCATTTAATCAATGGTAAGTCTATAAGTATGTTATATCATTGGAAAGGTAATTAAATTTACTCATTAGAAAAAATAATGGTTATCATTTGTTTTTACCGGGAAATAAAAAAAGAAGTTAATGTCCACAAGAAGAAAATTAAGATTTATTGCAACTAACAAAATTAAAAAAAAAACATGTTTAGAAACGGCCTAAAACCTAGTGTTAACCACCCCTTGCCTTAATTACTGCTTCCATACGGTCTTTCATTGATGTAATCAACGTAACAATGCGTTCTTGAGGAATGTTGTCCCATTCCTCAATGACAGCATCCTCGAGTTCTGGCAGTGTGGTGGGGGCAGGATCACGAGTCCGTACTCGCTGCTTTACATCATCCCAGAGGTGCTCTATCGGGTTCATGTCTGGACTTTGCGCCAGCCACCACATAACAGAGATCCCGACCTCTTGAAGGTAATCACATCAATCACAAGCTGGCGTTGTCATGCATTAATGTAAATCGATCGCCAACAAAACCCGCGTATGGAACCACATGCTCTTCTAGGATCTCCAATATGTATCGGTGAGCAGGCAGCGACCCTTGACCACGAGCACCTCCGCTCCGGGAAACGCAGACAAGGCTGGTTTTGGCGTCGACTGACATGCCACCCTAGAACATGCATGAGCCACCCTTGAATCCAACTGTTTCTTCAATACAGGCTTGTGCAAATCGTTCCCCTTGCCTTCTGTATACTCTTAAGCGTTTATCATTGGAGAAAAGACATACTCTTGTCTCATCCGAAAAAAGTACTGTCCTCCATTGGTCGATCGTCCAATCAATATGGATCGTGTGCAAATTGCAATCGATCTCTGCGATGCTGTGCGGTCAATTTTGGACCAGTTGCAGGCCTATGCGCTGCAATTTTCTTTTCTCTTAACCGTCTTCTGATCGTAGAGACGCTTACAGATGTTCTGCGAGCTGATCGTAGCTGCTGTTGCAGTTCTACAGCAGCTGAGAATCTATTGCGTAAAGATGTCGATACAATGAATCGATCGTCTCTTTGTGATGTGGAGCGCTGTCGCCCAGATCCACGCCTCTGAATATAGTCATTGGTGTCAAAACGGGATAGATTTAGTTGCCGAGCGACATCACACTGTCGCATCCCTGACTGCAGTAGCAAAAACACTTGAGCGGTTTCACCAGCAGTGTTACCCATATTGTGGGGTTTTAAGCTTGCTTTAGAAATTTACGCGTATCCTCTTCAACGTTTGGAAAGCGAATGACTCACATTTTACTTTTTTTTTTTTTTTTGCGCCCGAAGCAATTAAAGGGCTACCCTGTACGTAGGGAGGCGGAAAATGCATTACGCATACCACGATAGCCGGTCTATCGTGGTTATGGGGGACTCACTGTCCTACCGGGGACCCTAAGTGATACCCCCTAAAAACCGCCTTTAGGGACAGGCAACCGGCTGATTAAGCTCTATTGTGCCTTATCATGAGCGACCCTCTTTTGGGAAAAGAGGGCGCAGGCGGCTAAGTGCCGCTGAGGGAGTGCCTACGAAGGCAAATTAATGTCAGATATTACAATAATTTTATTTAATTAGAGTTGGCCTTAGCCGCCAGGAGACAGTTCAGGTCGTTTGAAAGTTTATTAGGCGGGTCCGAGAGAGAGTTTCTCGGCCTGCGGACACGATAGCGAGAGGGGGGTGGGGCTGCATAAGAAGCTGCCTCACGAATTAAATGGTTTGGGTGCGACTCTGAGGCTTTGAAGAAGTTCTCAGAGAGTTTTTTAAGAAATTGTTGAATTGTTGGGAGCTCTAAGTCCCGATGAAGGTCGGCATTACGAACGTACCACGGTGCGTTCGCAGCTCGACGACAGAATAGGTTCTGAACTATTTGGAGTTCATTTAAAATGTTAGGGTTTGCGTGGGCAAAGACGGGGCCCGCGTAGGACATGACTGGTCGTATACATACCTTGTAGAGTGTACGCTTGTTTCGAAGGGACATTTTACTGTGTCGGCCCAACATACTGTTGAGCCTACTCAGATAAAATCGTGCGTGACGGGTTACTCTTTTGACGTGGGGCTTGAAAGTAAGCCCTGTGTCTAGAGTGACACCTAAATATTTGGCGGACGTATGCCAGGGGACAGGGGTCCCTAGCATACGTATTGGAGGAGTGTTTTTGAGACGGCGTCGTTTATAATCGAAGTGAACGGTGGAGCTCTTCTCCGGGTTCACATCGATGCGCCATTTTTTGAACCAAGCTCCTAGGTCATCAACTGACTTTTGGATATTGTTTCGTATGAAGGGTAGTGAGACACCTTTGCAGTAGATGGCAGTGTCGTCTGCAAAGAGGGAGAGTTGAACACCTTTCGACGGGATGGGAATGTCGTTGGTGAACAGGATGTACAGCAGAGGAGCAAGTACTGAGCCCTGAGGGACACCAGCCTTGATAGTTCGCTGTGAAGAAAGCGTGCCTTCGTGTCTAAAACGAAAGGTACGATGTTTTAAATAGGAGGCCACGAGACGAACTAGACGATCGGGGGAGACCTGTTTTATAGAGCTTGTAGATGAGGCCTGTGTGCCAGACTCTATCGAAAGCTTTGGCTATATCGAAGAAGACCGCGATGGTTTTATGACGTCGAGGGTAGAAACCGCTGAGGATATATTCCACAATGCGGTGAACTTGTTGGGGACATGAGTGTTTGGCTCGGAAGCCGAATTGGTGGGGGATGATGAGAGGGTCGCCGTCTGTGGGAAACAGAAAGCGCCTCATACGCGTTTGAATGACTCTTTCGAAGAGCTTGCCCATTGCCTTGAGGAGGCTAATGGGGCGATGGCTGGAGGGGGAGGTTGAGAGGCTTACCTGGCTTGGGAATTCCAATCACAGTTGCCTCTTTCCACGTAGTGGGAAAATAACTAAGGTTGAAGCTGGCGTTGAAGATAATAGATAAAAAGGTTAACACCTGCTGGGGAAAGTGTTTAAGGGCTTGGTTGGAGATGCCATCCGCGCCCGGAGCCTTTTTGGGCTTAAGTCCTTTGATGAGAGATGAAATCTCATCATTGGACACAGAGATAGGTTCGGAGGCCGTGGGTAGTGAATTCTGGCGGCGGACCTCATCCTCCACTGCCTGGACGTGTGAGGGGTCGACAGGTTGAGAACTAGGGGAGCATTGAGCGGCAATGCTATCCGCAAAGCACTCAGCCTTTTCCTCGTCCTCGAAGGCAACCGTGCCGTCGGGACGGGAGAGGGAGTGTGGGTGATAGCGTCTATGCGGAGGGCTCTAGCCATCTGATAGTACGCTGTGTGAGATGGAGAGATATTCTCCATGAGCTTACTCTTTTCGAGATCTTGAAATTCAGAGAGGCGGAAGCGGAGTTTTCGTTGAAGACGATTGGCCGCGCGCCTATATTCGGGGGTGGGATATTTTGCTGCTCTCCGGAAAGCAGCTTTTTTGGCTTTTAATAGGTTGCTAATATGTAGGGGAAGCCCACTATTGTTAGCAACCGGGACGACCCTTTCGTTCTCCTTAAGGGAGGATTTAATAAGGGTGGAGAGTGAATCGACCGCGGTGTCGATTTTTTCGGGACTGTCTAAGTCCGTCGGTATGGAGATGGTAGAATCCTGTGAGTCCAGGGCTTTGGCTAGGGACTCCTTGAATCCCTTCCAGTTTGTGAAGGTTTTCGTGTGTGTTGGGGGAGGTGGCTGATGGCCAAGAATGAGGGAGACCGGTCGGTGATCTGATCCTAGATCGTCTAGTGTCTCGATTGCTCTGAGGTTGAGAGAAACTCCTTGGAGTAACGCAAAATCTAACACATCAGGTGAGTGATCGGTGTTATCGGGAAAGTGAGTAACACCGAGAGGACTATGGACGGTGATATCAAGAGACTGCGTGATATCGAGCAGTATCTTGCCACTAGGGGACGTAGTGCGGCATGTCCATTCAGTATGCTTTGAGTTAAAATCTCCAAACATAATGACTGAATTGCCCAAGGATAAAATGGCCTCAAAATCTTTTTTGAGGGGATAGGTTCCTGAAGGGATGTAGCAGGAGGCTATGAGGATGGACTGATGTCCAGTCATAGCTAGCCTGCATACCATGGCTTCCATGTTGGTAAGCTGCGGAGTAGAAATGGGCGAGCAGTGAAGTGTCTTCTTGTAATAGATGGCCGTTCCGCCGCCTCGGCGGTCGGGTCTGTCATACGAAGAAGAGAGAAGTTTTTAATAGAAAGGCCTCTAGTGTCCTTAGCTTTGAGATTGGTTTCCTGTAGGAGGAGGAAATCGACTTCACGATTTCGAAGAAAGAGCTTAAGCTCTGGGAGGTTATTTCGCAAGCCGCGAATATTAAATGATACAAGCGATAAACCCTTAGGTTTGATACGACCATGGGATCTTGGTAGGTTAGTTTGCTCAGGCATTGGAGTTAAGTTAATTACGTTAACTTAACTTACAACGCTAGCAGAAGATCGTTATGTTCGGCAAGAGCGAGGAGACGCTCTTGGGGGGACTTCGCCGCGCGCAGTTTGCGTGCTATAACTGTAATCTCTCTAACATCTATATTCCTAATCGCGGAGTATAGCGTGTTGTAGTCGTCTGTTGTGGGCTCTGCCTCGTGTGCGTACGAGGTTGTCCGCGGAGGGTCTGCCTTTTTGGGCCCCCAGGGAAAGACTGGAGGCTGCATTGGCTTTGAGAAGCCCGGAGGGGGCCGAATTATGCCCTGAGGGGGGCCTAGGGGGACCCTGAGGGGGGCCTAGGGGGACCCTGAGAGGGTCGAGAGAAGCCCTGGATAGGCTGAGAGGGGCCCTGACGGGGCCGTTGTTGGAGGGCCGGGAATGAGCGGTCATTCACCGTCGGTGGAGCTTTCCTACTGGGGCGAGGTTGAGGTGCGCGTGGGCAACCCTTGTAGTTCGCCGGGTGTCCTGTCTGGTTGCACAGGACACAGGCGGGCGGGGATTCGGCGTCTTTGGGCCGGGGACACTCTTTAGTGTTGTGTGGCTCCAGGCACTTCACGCACCTGGGTGGGGCGGAGCAGTTGGCCGCCGCGTGACCATAAAGTTGGCAGCGGTGGCACTGCGCCGGGAAACCGGGCCTATGTGGGGGCTCTACCTTCACCCTTGACAGGCCGCACACTGTGCGCACCTGCCGGAAGATGGCTTTAGCCTCCGGCACGTTGGACAAGATTACTAGGGCAGCTCACATTTTACCCTGTACCGGCCCTTTTATATACGCATAACGCACCGCAACTAGTGATCTTTACGACACGTATTTTAGAAAAAGTTATTTCAACGTCTCGTCCTCAGAAGATTTCTTAAGTTTATGAAACAAAACAGTTGTTAATTTAAAGGTTAATAAACGCACTTTCAGTAGATACCAATAATGACTCGATTAAATGTAAACACTGAGAGCCAGACACTCAAGTAACTTTTTTTCGGGGAGGTGCGATTTTTGTGACGCCGAGTGTATATGCTCAATAGTTGAAGATTAGTATGCCAGATGACGTTATATTTGTTTTATACAAGGCTATTTTGCAAAAAAACCGGCCAAATTGGCAGAGAAGGTTCAGAATAAGTAATATAGGTGAAGAAGAAATAATTAAAAAATCTCAAACATTCTGTATTCTTTATCTTTTAAATTCAAAATGCGTGGTAACGCATTATTTTAACTGATTTTACTGCACACGCACATATTTATACGAGTCGATTGGATGACAAAAACGTATTTGGACATAAATCACATTCAATTTGAGATAATTTCAAATAAATTTATAAGCCTTATTTACTCGTATTTTCAAAAACTGTATATTTTATATATTTGAACTTAAATTTAAAATTTTGCTAGTGTTTGAAAAATGAGTGTGTTTATTTACGTTGGCACGTGCATGTGTGTGTGTGGCAGGAGCGCATGGCGACGCGGTACGCGCGCGACACGCACCACTACTGCCTGCACCTGGACGGCGGGCTCGTCATCGACGGGCACCGCATGGGCGGAGACGGCCGCTTCGTCAACCACTCCTGCCGCCCCAACTGCGAGATGCAGAAGTGGACCGCCAACGGTACTCACTCTTGCACTTACTGCACTGCACTCACAAGCCAGAAATGCAGTGTGCAAAAACACAATAAACTTAGACATTTAAATGCTTATTTTGATTTCATTATTTTATTTTTATTTATTTATTTAGGTACACAAAACAGAATAACACCAAAACATGAACAATTGAAAATAATAAATACAAAGTTAGGATGGTATTCCAAAACATGTGCACAAAACATGATATTAATTAACAGTAACGATTTTACATCACAAATAATTATAACCTTACTTATAAACATACTATACTTATGAACTTATGATGTGAAAATTTTTGAAAAATTAAATCTTTATTAAAATAATGTTCATTTACCTTATTAATTAACTATTGCATAGTGCATTTGATTATTCATTTTATTATATTTTGGTTTGTAAACAATGTTACACCAGTTGACTATAGTGGGAGTATTCAATTGCACATCTTAAACTCGAGGCAGATTGCCAGGTATATATACAAACGTGACATCAATACACTTACTAAGATGATACACTTTTAAAGCAAAATATATAGTTTATTATTTAGCCGACTTCAGACTTTTTTCTATAAATTCACTGCTTCTAAACCAGGATTTGTTTTTTAATATAATAAGGATGACAAACGAGCACCCAGTCCACCTGATGGTAAGTGGTTGATGTGGTACATAGACATCTACATCTATCGTCGTTTACGAATCAAAATGCAGATTCGTCGTCACCCGTGAGGACTAAGATGAAATGCCTCTTTTCTATTAAAAAGGGACTCCGGTTGCTACTTTACTTTGGTGTTCTGTGAAAGCGTGATCGTTCTACGGTCGAGCCGACCCATTCGCTACAAATATACAATTAATATAGCTGCAGCATTTTAGCTGTTAAGAAACTGGGTGCGCGATTGACGAAAGGTATAAGGGGCGAACGATTAAGTGGACTGTATTAACATAGTTCAAAAGGAACCATAAGAAAATGGCGGACATGGCACGTGGCGAACTTTGGAGAATATACTTGCTATTAATAAATTTAATGCGTTAGCCGGTACGACGGAACATGAACTGCTGTGAATAAAGGAACAGGAAAGCGTTTTTTACGTGGTAGAGCCATGATGCAGCTATATTAATTGCATAATTGTAGCACGAATGGGTCGGCTCGACCGGGGGAGGATCACGCTCTCACAGAATACCAGCGTAAAATAGCAGCTTAATGCTGTTGTGTTTCGTATGGTGAGTGTAGAGAACCGGTGACCCTTTTTACTAGAAAAGAGGCATTTCATCTTAGTTCTCAAGACTGAGACAACGCATCTTCATGATTCGCCAACGAGGTTAGATGTAGATGTCTATGGGCCACAGCAACCACTTCAAGCAATCAAGTGGACTGTGTGCTCGCTTGTCACCCTTTTCCTATATAAAAAAAAAAACAAAGAAATAAAAACAACTCAAAATTAAGGAACGGGCAATTAATTACTTGGGGAAGCTGCGAGCGGCCTCTCTCTACGGCTTTGCGGAGGCGACGAAAACTGTATTGCAGTATGCGAGCGGTGTCAGCGCACGTCCTTTTATCGCTCCTACCGTCTCCACTTCCATCTAAGCGGAGTCCACCAATCTAGCCCCCTCCCACCATTAGGCAGGTCCGTGCGTGAAGGAATAGATGTGAAGGGAGGTTATGCCGGCTAACTTAACTAACAAAATACATCGACAAATACAAAATGCAAGGGTTTGCGTTGGCGCAAGCATCCCCCCACCCCCGGTTTTAAGGGTCCCTTCAAAACTAACTAAAGCTACTACTAATACCTAATTTAAACTACTACCCTAACCTATAAAAGGCAGTTCGAAAACTATTGGTTAGGTAAAGGACAGAGACGTACGACAGATGGCGGTCTTAACACGAGCTATCCTCGTTATTACATCGGATCCAGGAAAAACCTCAATGGCCAATGAATAGGCGTCGCGTTCTCTTTAGTGAGAATAACTACAGTTCAGTTAATTGGTTAACTGCTGTGTACCATTTCTGTCGCGACTGCTACGTATGCAGATATTCCGTGTTCCAACGCTTCTAAAACGACTGCACAAGCTTGTCCAATAAGTTATGACGTGAAAGAACATGGGAGTTTATCACCATCTATATCTATAGCGGGTAGGTACTTCACAGGCGTAAGATTTATAAATGTGCTGGAGTCAAAGCTAGTGGCTCCGAGGGGTCACTGGAAAGTATACGGCATAAAGGACGGCTATTCATAACGCAATCGATCTGTGCGAGTACAGTGCTTAATTCTTCAAAAGATAAAATTTGATTTCCGATTATGCGATATAAATAACTCTAGACTTTTAATATTGGTCTCCTAATTTCCCCCAAAATGACTTGCGGCGAGTACGTTTAGCGGCCACTCGATGTGATTTTCAGCTAAAACATGTGCGAACTTAATACATATACATGTGCGAATTATAATATTTAGAAGTTAAAAACCCGTTTAACTCTGCCTATAGAGCCGCGGCGAGTAAGTAAATCTTTTAAATGCACCCATGAAGCTAGCCGTGCTTAGATCACCGCAAGTTCTATGTGTACAGCGTGAGTAGTCAAACATACGGAAATACAAACATTCACCTTCGTGGATCTTCACCGCGTTCACGAGCAAGGGTAATCTTAAACGGGCCAGCAAAGTCTGAACCCGTGTGCATAAAAGGCTTTGCGGATTGTGTTACACGATAGGATGTATAGTCCGCCATTTCCAGGAATGACGGCCTAGGACGAACTCGAAAACAAGAGATACATCTATGCACCCGATTGCGATTTAAGTTGCGAGGGGAGAGAATCCAGTAGTTCTGACGCAAATTTCAGTTCTGCTAGAGCGCGTCTCTCATTGAAGGAAAACAGGATGCGTCCACCAATCTAGCCCCCTCCCCACCTCCGCCCATTAGGCAGGCCCGTGCGGGAAGGAACGGATGTGAAGAGAGGTTATGCCGGTTAACTTAACTAACAAAATACATCGACAAATACAAAATGCAAGGGTGTGCGTTGGCGCTACGAGCAAAAATGCAATTACTGTTCTGTTTTTGTTAAGGCCGTAAAGAAGACCTGCATGCCTAGTACTTATACGGGGTGAGAACACCATATAAGCTTATTTATCAATTAAATGTTACAAAATATATTTATGAATGCAATGCGCGTAGTCTTTCTCGCTAAAGTAATGTTTAACTGTACACCAAATAAATATATTTTTTAAATTAATAATAGATAACTATAATTTATCTTCTCTTTACAGGCACATTCCGAATGGCACTGTTTGCTTTAAGAGACATTGAGCCGGGAGAGGAACTCACATATGATTACAACTTCTCTCTCTTCAATCCTGCTGTTGGTCAGGTAAAAATAAACACGAAACAATATCAAAAACACTAATGAAAAGATAAAAAGAGAAGAAGATGCTCACATTTTTATTTTATTTTTACAGCCTTGCAAATGTGATTCAGAGGACTGCCGCGGTGTGATCGGAGGAAAATCGCAGAGGATTACGAAACAACCAGTTAAGACCCAATCACGAACCCCTTCGAACGCATCAAACCAGTCGAATAGCTCCAATGGTAACCAGCCTCGTGTTGGGCGTCCAAGGAAAGCAGTGAAATGTAACAAAAAGTCGGAGCAGCAGAGTGCCATTGCATGCGACATCAAAAATATGACCATATTGAAATATCAGCAACATTTGAATAAATTATGGCAAGAGCCACAAATGAAACCCCTTACACCCAAGGAAAAGAATCTTGTAAAGGAGAGGCATTGCTTCTTGTTCAGGAATCTTGAAATTGTAAGCACTTTTAGTTACATTCATAAAGTAAGTTTTAAAGGAAACTAATGGATAATATTTCCCATGGCTGCCACACTTGAGAGCAAGTGCTGTTCTTTTATAATTTTGATTTGTTACCTAGGAGGTGTAGCTGATGCGCATCTTCCGTTTCATTTCTATGTCACCTCTTATATATATATATATATATATATATATATATATATATATATATATATATATATATATATATATATATATATATATATATATAATCATTATTATAGCCCTTCAGTTCACAATTCTACTGCTCAATAACTTCCACCAAGGAATGCATTTAGCAGGCGGTATAATGTATAATATATATATTAAAAGATTCACAATCCGTGAGGAGGGACCTGGTGACCTATACAAACAGTTATTGTTTAATACCTTTATTAGACACCAGTTTCTCACAAACTAGGGTTCAATACGTTTATAGTTCAACATGTTTGTCACCAATAATTCTGTACCTATTTGTGGTGATATCATCATCATCATCATCATCATTACAGACATTCAAAAGTCCACTGCTAAACATAGGCCTCCCTCAAGGTGTGCCACAAAGCACGGTCCTGAGCCACCAGCATCCATCGACTTCCTGCATGTCTTACCAGGTCGTCACTCCATCTAGTGGGGGGTCACTCGAGAACCTTTTTTCCCCAACGCTTGTCGGTTCTTCGAGCTATATGGCCGGCCCATTGCCACTTCAGCTTACTAATCCGTTGGGCTATGTCAGTCACTTTGGTTCTACTGCGGATATCCTCATTTCTAAGTTTATCACGCTGAGAAACTCTGAGCATAGCCCTCTCCATAGCTCGCTGAGCGACTTTGAGCGTCCTCATATGGCCAACAGTGAAGGACTACGTCTCAGTCCTATATGTCATCATTGGCAACACGCACTGGTTGTACAACTTAGTTTTCAGGTTTTGAGGTATACCTGACGAGAAGATGTATAGTAATTTCCCCGAACGCTGCCCAGTCGAGTTGAATCCGTCCATTGACCTCTCGGTCGAAGTTGGACTTACCTAGTCGGACTATTTGTCCCAGGAAAACATACTCGTCAACAACTTCGAGCTTAGTGCTCCCAAGAACCACAGGCATAGGTGTGACATGGACATTAAACATGATCTTTGTTTTGTCCATGTTCATCTTAAGACCTATCCGTTGGGAGGCACTATTGAGGTCATTGAGCATAGTGCTTAAGTCCTCCAGCGATTCTGCCATAAGGACTATATCGTCGGCAAATCGAAGGTGAGTGATGTACTCGCCATTGATGTTAATACCGTATCCTTTCCAGTCCATTAGCTTGAAAACGTCTTCCAATGCAGCAGTGAAGAGTTTCGGGGAAATAATGTCACCCTGTCTTACACCTCTATGCAGTTGGATAGATTTCGAACTCTGGTTCTGTACTCGGATAGCCATTGTAGCCCTACTGTACAAACACTTCAGCACTTCGATATACCCACAGTCAACTTGGCACCACTGAAGAGACTGTAGCACCGCCCAAATTTCGACGGAATCAAAGGCTTTCTCATAGTCCACATACGCCAGGCAAAGTAGCAGATTGTACTCTTCGGTCTTCTGTACAATTTGCCGAAGGGTATGTATGTGGTCTATGGTACTGAAACCTTTTCGGAAACCGGCTTGTTCGGGAGGCTGGAAGTCGTCGAGTCTGCGTGCGAGACGATTCGTAATGACTTTCGAAACAGCACGTAGAGGCGGCTCAGAAGGGATATCGGTCTGTAGTTTTTCAAGAGGGCGTTGTCACCTTTCTTGAAGAACAAGACCACCGCACTTCTGCTCCACGCCTCCGGAGTAGTGCCACCATGGAGATAGAGATAGACATAAAATATGATATTTTTTATTATTAAAATATATATGTTATTTGTGAAAAAGATTTAAAAAATAAAGTAAAGTAAATTAAATTAAAAACAAAATAAAAGTAAAGAAAAAGCATATAAATATTTCTTATATTTCCGTGAATACTGCATATAGGTTAAAATATTATTGATTTCGATTGTTTATAGATTTTCTCACAGTCATTTTTAATTTTTTCTTTCTTATTTTGATTATCTGAAGCTTTGGATCTAATAAAGCATCATTGGTTACTGGGGAGTTCATGTGTTTGGTCGTCTTGATGTCATAGTTAACCCAGACTGCCTTCAGCTTTAAATAAATTTAAATATAAAGATTTGGTCCGATCTACACAGAACAAGCTTACAATATCCTAATGTTTTACAGTCAAGCAAACTACTAAGACTTGTATTTAATTTTATTAGTTATGGGATCCAGAGCAGGTCGTTGAGTATAATAATACCCGTGTGGTTAAAGTCCGAAGCGATATGCGTTTTTCGGTACGTTCTCCAATTTCAGTCCAACTTGTCATTGGAATCAATGAAAAATAATTCAAATAAACTGCAAAAAAATTTTGTCTATTTGTGAGCGACATATTCTAAGTTTTCCTCATAATTATTATTGATTTTGTTTGTTAATATTTTTGTATAAAATATTTACATGCCATTGCAACAGGAGTAACCATTTTTAAAATTTTCATTTGTTTATCTGCTAATCTTTGGAATGGCTGAACCCATTGTAATTAAGTGTCACGAACTAATAGAGAGAAGAAGACCAGGAAAGATCTAGACTAAAATATATCTGAAAAATTTAATTAAAAAAAATTAAATGTCTAAATAACATCACATTAATATATCTCATCCATGAGAAGCCAGGGCGGGTTGCTAGTTATAAATGTAATTTTAATGTTAATATACCTAATTGAGTATACAATTCTTTTCAAATATTTTCCTTATAATAGAAAATTTCCAATTAACCGAATAATATAAGACTATAACGATATACAGTTGTTAGCAGCTTTTTCATACTGGTACTGTATTATACATGATGACGGTAGGGTGTCGATGAGTCGCCGTTTCTAATCCCATTATATATCCGTACGAACTATACATTTTTATTTGATAAATTGCAGGTGCGACGTATCCGCGAGCGGCTGTCTCTGTCGCTGCCGCCGTCCCCGCCGGACGCCCGCGCCGCCGCGCCGCTGCCCGCGGCCGCGCTCCTCGCCGCGCGCCCCGTTGCGCCCCCCGCGCCTCCGATGCCCCCCGCGCCCGCCTCCATCAACGTGAATCCCCTCGAGTTGCCGGACACGATGAACCCCACCATATTCCTCAACCGCCTGCAAATGCTCCGCGCCTCCAAGGAGGACAGCTCCAGAGCGCTGGTACGCTTCCAGGACGATCCCGCGCTGGAGCCCAAGCAGCGGTTGTCCAGGCTCTTCAAGGCACTGTTCGATTCCGTTGTGGCTGTCAAAGGTTAGTATTTTTTTTCGCAATGAAAATATCATGAAATTCATCATCATAATCATTACAGTCCTTCAAAAGTCCACTGCTGAACAAAGGTCTCCGCCAAGGAATGTCAAAAAGCATGGTCCTGAGCCACCCGCTTCACGTCTTACCAGGTCGTCACTTCATCTAGTGGGGGGACGCCCTACACTTCGCCTACCGGTACGAAGTTGCCACTCGGGAAGTCTTTTTCCACATCGGTGGTCGGTTCTTCGAGCTATATGGCCGGCCCATTGCCACTTCAGCTTACTAATCCGTTGGGCTATGTCGGTCACTTTGGTTCTACTGCGGATATCCTCATTTCTTACTGGAAACGAGGCATTCCATCTTAGTCCTCACGGGTGACAACGCATCTTCATTTTGATTTGTAATCGAGGATAGATTTAGATGTTTATAGGCCAAACAGCAAACCACTTACCATCAGGTGGACTGTGTGCTCGTTTGTCACACTATCCTATAAAAAAAAACCGAACCGGCCACCGGGGACTGGGGGGCGTTTATTTGTGTCGTAGCGCATGGAGGGTATATTATATTGCCATAGTTGCCACACTTGGCGAGCGGGTTGGCAACCGCAGTTTTTTTGCACAATTGCTGTGATTAAGATGCTGCTGCCCATCTGCCTCTGTCGCGTTTTACGACACCCACAGAAAGTTATGGGATAGTGGATATTCTTATTCGCCACTACACGACACTCTCATGAAATTACGAGGGCGGCACTGAAAATTTCGGGAATCAAGGAAGTGACACAACATTACTATTTAAAAATGTATTTATTGCTTTTCGAAGTATTCTCCGCGAAATTTGACACATTTTTCCATACAATGGAACCAATCATTGAAGCAACCATTCCATTCGGAAGTTGGGGTCTCCAAAATGGCCGTTTTGTAGGCGTCCACAGCTTCTTCAGGTGATGAAAATCTCTGTCCACGCAATTTATTCTTTATTTTAGGGAAAGTATAGAAATCATTAGGGCTTAGGTCGGGGCTGTACGGCGAATGGTCTAATAATTCTACGTTTTCTTGCTCTAAAAACTCTTTTGTTCTGTGTGCGGTGTGAGAACTCGCATTGTCGTGATGGAGGATGATGCGGCGGTTGCAGTTCTCTTTACGGAGTTCAGAAACGACCTGTGGCAAACAAATGCCAAATACCATTCTGCATTAACCGTTCTTTGTCCCTCAAGAGGAATAGTCGTAACATGGCCGGTTTTGGAGACAAACGTGGCCACCATTTTTTGTACTTTTTGTAAATATTTTTTGTACATTTTTTGTACGGCGGATGGTCTAATAATTCTATGTTTTCTTGCTCTAAAAACTTTTGTTCTGTGTGCGGTGTGAGAACTCGCATTGTCGTGATGGAGGATGATTCGGCGGTTGCAGTTCTCTTTACGGAGTTCAGAAACGACCTGTGGCAAACAAATGCTAGCATACCATTCTGCATTAACCGTTCTTTGTCCCTCAAGAGGAATAGTCGTAACATGGCCGGTTTTGGAGACAAACGTGGCCACCATTTTTTTTGCAACACTCCGTGAACGAACAATTTTTGTTGGCTTTAAATCATTTTCGAACCCCCAAACTCCTGACCGGTTTTTTGTTTCCGGTTCGTACGCGTATATCCAGGATTCGTCACCTGATACGATGTTGTATACAGCATTTGAGGATCCTGCGTGGAATCTTTCGAGAGTCAGAACTCTCCAAGTAACGCGAGCCGCTTTTAGCTCTTCACAGAGCTAATGTATCCATCGGGAAAACAACTTTTTTACACCTAATTGTTCATGCAAGATTATTTGTATTTGACTCATGCCAATGTCTAAAGTTGCCTGAATTTCGCGGTATGTCACATGTCGATTTTCCTCAATCAGCTTACGCACAGCATCAACGTTTTCTTGGGTGACTGCAGTTTTTGGACGACCTTGACGGGGATCATCACTAAGTTTGACACGTCCACGTTGAAATTCAGCAAACCAGCGATAAATTGTGGTTTTTGGATGGGGCTTCATCACCAAATGCAGAAATCATCCGGTCAACACACTGTTTTTGTGTTAAACCACTTCGGAAGTCATAATAAATCATCGCTCCAATTCAATTCCATTTTCTCAACAAACTAAACAAGTTTGACAAAACCTTGTGACAAGACCGAAAATCTTTTTTGAAATAAATAAATGGTATTCGATTTTTAAAACCAAGGAGTTTTCAGTTAAAAAGATTTTAATATGACAGGAACAGTGGAAATATTCCATTCCCGATACTTTTAGTGCAGCAGCCCTTGTATGAACTTATAATGTATAATTATTGTGAATTTATCAATTATGAATATAATTTGTAAAAATAAATTATCTGATCTGTGATGGTGTTATTCGGTATCACTATTTGCATTTAATTTACATTAAATTATATTTATTTCTCCACCACAATAGTTTATATAGGTGTACTAACAAACGACAAAATATAATGTGTGATATTTTAGCAGCTGACTGGAGCCTAAACAAGGTTATGCCTGTATCAGGACTCCAGTCACTTGCTTTTTTAATTCTATACAATATGTTAAAAAAAAAACCTGTCCGAAGTCCGAACAATATGGGTTCATGTAATTCATTTCAACATATTAATAGTATAGTAAAGTAAGTATGTATTGATATGTCTTACAAATAATTGCTCCAGCTTTGGATTTTTATTTGTGTATAAACTATAATATATGTGAAATGCCGGCATGACACAGAAGAAAATAGTTTTTATTTATATATAAGAAGGAGCGGCACACCTGTTAGTAAGTGACTACCACCGCCCTACATGAACAACTACAACACCAGGGAAACTTCAGGTGCCTAGCTGACCTTCTAAAAAGAGATTAGACTCTTTTCTTGAAGAATATAGTGTGTATACTTGTAAAGTATTTTGTAAAAAAAATCTTATTATATCATTAAAAATATATTCACAAAAATATAAATGTGTCCACAGATGAAGAAGACAAACAAGTTTGCACGCCGCTACTGAAAATCAAAGCAGAACGGGGAAAGCAACTTGAGACACCAACTCTAGATCTGAACACAATCGGTAGCAATATCGACAGTGGCCACTACGATACCGTCGTCCAATTCGATGGCGATATGAACACCCTCTTCTCTACAGTCATAAGGGAACATGGGCGTTTATCTATCATGGGGACTGCCGCTATCTTACTAAAAAAAGTAGGTTGATTTTGTTTATTTATATTATTTGTATTAACATGATCACCATTATTGAATGTCATTAGGGATTGACTTTTCTAGAAACTGCTACAGACTATAGTCATGAGTCCTGAGATAAATACTATGTCATTAATTGAGTTGAAGGATGAAAATGAGAAGAAAAAATAAATATTTTTTTTATTTCAGGCTTACAATACGGCAAAGTCTGATTATGCCGAACATTTGACGAAGATTTTGGGTCCTCATGAGTCATTACCAACAGGATTCGTACAAAAGGCCAAAACTGGTTTGTATTTCCGTATTTATCTCACTGTATATTTCTTATAGTTTAAGGTTTGAAAATACAAAAAAAAAAAACACTGATACTGCGAATAAACTTGACTTACAAGATATATCGTGTGCAAAACACACCATAGTGGTGTTACGTGCTTAGGGTTCGTGACAATAAAAACTGCCGATTTAATTACCAAAATTTACACTTTAATTACTGAACACCAATTAAAAATTAAATCACACTAATAATTATTCACACTTAACACTTTAGGTCACTTTATTTCGCTCCGAAAGCTTCACTCGTATCGCCTATTCGATACTACCCCGATCGCGGCTTTCAACGGCTTTAAATAGGCCTTTTCCACCGAAACATCCAGAATATTCCAGAAAATAACGGCCCCGACCGACCATGTGCAGAAAGTTCGAGTGTGGGGCTTTCTAGAAAGTTTGGTTCTTCCATTCGATACTAGATGGTGCTAGTGGTAGAGTTATAGAAAGATCTTGATGCTCCTATTTCTGCTGCTTGATACCAGATGGCGCTAATAAATCAGCTGTGGCGCGCAACAGTGGCAAAGGTATTTAACCTTTCCCTTGCCGCGCCCGCCATAACAAAAAACAGAGCTTTGTACCGGGGCCTCTATCGTCACCTCAGCTGGCGGCACTTGTTATAAACACTTATGTTTCTCACGACCTTTCGTTTATGTTCAAAGAGGTTTTAGTTACAGTTATTTGAAGCCGATAAGATTTTTGATAAGTAGAAACAATAACCATAACATATCAATGTTTATTTTACTTTGTACAGCTCTTTGTTTCTAACCGATCTTGATAAAGTGTACTTACTGACGATAAATTTTATTGTATGAATGAAACATCGTAAGTTTTTATTTTATTTTTATGTCCTTACAATCAATACAACATATTCTTCCTAAATGAACCGAAATTATGCATGTAATAATTATAATAATTCTACTTTTTCACTTGCAAACATTTGCTAAAAATTCGACAATAGACAGTTTGCGCTTGCTTTGAAATGGTGTTTACACTTACTTTTTACTTTACTATTTACTTTTTGTGTATATATTTTATATCGTCTTCCTTTATTTTTCTTATACAATCATATAGATATAACATTTAGCAATTCCTAGTCAAAGTATTTACTGTGGTATTCCAATAAGAAATATACTATTATTATTTTATTAGAATCTTATTAGAAATCTTGACCGTTATGAATTGTTCGCATAGAGGTTTTATATTTCTACTTTTTTATCAATTGAAACATAAAAAGTTACTGTTGTTGTAACTTAAGTCATTCAAAAACATTACGTAGTAAAGATAAATAACATTACTTACAGTTTTTTTGAAGGAAAATCCAACTAAAATCACAATCACAAAACTTCAACGATTACGCAACTAACCGTACCGGTATGCAAAGGCGAATGGCTGTTATATTTGATTTTGTCTATGTAACCGAGTGAATATAATTCTTCAGAATATTCTTTAGTTCGTTCACAATCGAATGAAATAGTGTTCAATCGAAAATATACTGTATTTTTATATCAATTAATGACGAAAATAACAGCACGTAATGCGGACATGTATACATGTCCTCTGTACTCAGCGGTCACAAAACGTGGACATGTTAACATGTCCACGGTACCTCAAGGGTTATAGTGCCATGATATCGTAGTTGCTCACCATAGCGCGAACCAAAGTTCAAATCACATTGCGCTGCAAAACATATTATGCAAATAATTGTGTGAAACCCATAACAATGTTAAACATATTACAGTGCAAAACACATTATAGTACAAAACACATAGTAAGAAACCCATCCCAAAACGAAACACATCATGGTGTGAATTACAGCGGGAAACATATTGCAAAAGACTTCATAGTAAGATATCGCACGATAGTACGCGACCGGCTCATTCACTGTTGGTAATAACTAAAGCGTATCGTATGACTGTAAAGCAGGCCATTTATATCCATCTTGCACGTACGAACAATTGCATTGATAACATCAAGGTCCCGTTGAAATGGCAACGTCTTATTCGTATTTTACTGTCAAAATAAATATAATAATTTTTAAATTCATATTCCAAGCCATAATATAGTTGTAGCGTGGCTCTACCACATCAAAAATTTGGGATTACAGTCAGTAGGGTGAACATTATATGGTGTTTTCCATGTATCTTCATTAATATGGCGTTGATTTCGCCACCCGATATTGGATTATTTTCTATTATAAAAGTTTGACTTATTTTGTAACATTATTGTGTTGTATTAAAATATAATTTATTTGCAGAAGAAGTGATCCTGTGCATCTGTGGGCTTCACGTGGAAGAAGGCCTGATGGTACAGTGCGGTGGCAGTCGCTGCGGCGTGTGGCAGCACGCACGCTGCATGCGCGTCGCCGATACCACCGCGCCGCACTACTGCCACAACTGCTCGCAGCGCACTGTAAGTACATACACATGCACACGTATACAATGCGCCGCACTACTGCCACAACTGCTTGCAGCGCGTTTTATGTACATGCACGCAAAAGTGCAGTTTTAGCAAGTTATTAGTATTTTTTTAATAAATAATAATTAAAAATACAATACCTGTACACCACGTCGCACTATTGCTAAAACTGCTCGCAGCACACTGTACTGTGACTGATGATGAATTGGGATTCCGACTTGACTAGAGATACACTGATCACTATGCATGAACTCCTATTGGCGTACATGTACTTACAAATTGCTGTAATGTAACATATATTTATTAATAATATCATTTTAGGTGGACCGAGAGATTCCCTTAGACGACTACACCGAAGAAGGCCACCAGTTTTACCTGTCACTAATGCGTGGTGACCTGCAAGTGAGGCAAGGCGACACCGTTTACGTTCTGCGAGATATACCGATTGACGACAAACATCCTGACGTCAGTCAAAAGAATGGCGATAAACCGGAATCACTAAAGACAAAGAGAGTTGATCGGAAAAAATTGAAAGGAATTACTAAAGGGAAGGACAAGGCTGATGATGGCAGTAACAAGGTACACAGTAATAACTTATCATAATCGCTACAAATGACAAAAACTTTTACAGTTTTTATAAAATTTGAAGTGACAAACTTACAATCCACCTTATGGTAATTGGCCATTGCAGCCCGTGGACATCCTGTAACCAACTTCAAACAAAGAAGCTACAGCTGTGTCGCCACTTTCGAGAATCAAGATAGAATCCCATACATGTACATGTACCTACTCAAAACATTTATATTGCCATCACCCACTATAGTTCATAAAAGATAGCTTGATCTCTGCAACAGCTGTCAGTAAAAAATCACGCCTATGAAGTCCTGAATTTCTTATAGTCAACAAAATCTAAGAAATACATTTTGACAGCTGTCAGACTTATTGCACCAAGCATGCCAACCAAAAAATGGGAACGCACATTATTCGATTCTTAAAAAAATCGATATCGATTATTTAGAGTTGGTAATCATTTACAGTTTGGTTTGAATAAATTAAAAACGGATAATTTAAAACACAAGATTTATCAGTTTCTTCGTATTTGTTGTTACTGCTTATTTCTAGAGGCACAGTTATAAAAACTTAAGATTGAAACTAGATTAAAAATAAATTTATTCAATCACTTTCAGTACAACTAGTAGGGATGTCGTTGTTTATATTAATTATTATTTGATTTTCAATAATGCAGTCAAAATTAATGTCTCCTTCAGTCATCTATAATCATTTTTTGTTTTTCTACCACTTTTGCCCAGTCATCCTTTGTGACATGGGCACATGCTTCAATGAATTTTTTTTATAGCATTGGGTGACAAACGAGCACACAGTCCACCTGATGGTAAGTGGATGCTATGGCCCATAGACATACACATTTATCCTCGATTTAGAATCAAAATGCAAATGCGTTGTCACTCCTGAAGACTAAGATGGAATGCCTCGATTCCAGTAAAAAGGGTCTCCGGTTCTCTACACTCACCATTGTGTTTCATACATCAGAATTACGCTGCTATTTCACGCTGGTATTTTGTAAGAGCGTGGTCCTGCTTTATTTGAGCCGACCCATTCGTGCTACTACTATAATATAGATGTAGAGTGGCTCTACCACATACAAAAAGTTATTATAGAAGAAACAGTTCAAAAAGTTAAAGCCGAGTTACAAAATAAGAAGACAAACACAATATTATAAAATTACACACAGCAAGCTCTCGAAACAGAAACAAAACTTTTTTTATTGAATATAGATTATGAATAACACTTATTGATAGTCACTTTTTTCATTTACCACTGGTTCGCAAAAAAAACCTCTGTCCTGAAAAGAACCAGCAAGAAACTCAACGGGACTAGTTTAAAAAAATAAGAGCATACAATCATAAGTGTTACAATTAACAACACAAAACAAATTAGAAATAGCTTCCCAGGGGTTATTATACATTCATAAATTCCTCAATATTAAAATAACTCTTTTTGTACAAACTTAGTTTAATAAAGTTTTTGAAGTTTGTGTACTTACGTCAAAGTTTGTATATTTTCTGGCATTTTGTTATAAAAGCGTATACATCGACTCAAAAATGAATTACTGATTCTGTGGAGTCGAGTAACTGGTATCGAAATGGCGAGATATTGAAATTATGTAGTGGTTATTTTAGCACGGCCTTGTATATGGGTTTTTTTCCTGCAAAAATTTACTTTGACAAAGTGAAAAAAATAAACTTGTTTTATTCATGATTCATGTAATTTAAGGAATTTTGAAAATAAAAATTAAGTTAAACAAATAATACATTAAAGAAATTAATTATTCGATTATTAGAATATTTTTACCGATTATTTGAATATTTTTCCAATTATTCGCATAACAATGAATTTTAATCATCCAAACACTACGGTAATATAAGCGACATGTCATTGAAACGACGTCAAGTAAAAAAAGTTAATACTGGTTATTTTTTAATATTTTGCTTTGTTTGAAAAATTTAAATTTAAATAAGTGATAAAAAACCATACACGTTGTAATGAAATATAGATAACTTTATAATTCTTCGGATTTACGTAAAAGGTTATTTTAAATTGTGTGAGTACGCTTGTGCAAAGTTATTGCGGAATGATTAATGTGAAACGTCAAAAGGTATTTCTTAGATTTGGTTGACTATAGTAGTACAGACAGTACCTGTCAATGTCATACTTTATGGGCATGCACTAATTAGGTCGGCTGCCGACCTAATTAGCCGAAAGTATGACATTGACGGGTACTGTCTATACTACTAAGAAATTCAGGACTTCATAGGCGTGATTTTTACTGACAGCTGTCGCAGAGATCAAGCTATCTTTTATGAACTATAGTGGGTGATGGCAATATAAATGTAACATTTATATTGTGAGCGCATGGCTGGTAATGTTATGATGATGATATTATTCCCCATCAGTTGTGCAGGCATGAAGACATGCTCATGAAAAATTTATCACAAGTAATTCCCCTAGAAAATACATAGATTAATTTTCATCATCATCATCATTATCATTACAGCCCTTCACAAATCCACTGCTGAACATAGGCCTCTCCAAACTAATGCCACAAAGCACGGTCCTGAGCCACCTGCATCCATCGACTTCCTGCGTATCTTACCAGATCGTCACTCCATGTAGTGGGGGGTCGCCCTACACTACGCCTACTGGTACGAGGCTGCCACTCGAGAATCTTTCTTCCTCATTGGTTATCGGTTCTTCGAACTATATGGCCGGCCCATTGCCACTTCAGCTTACTAATCCCTTGGGCTATGTCGGTCACTCTGGTTTCACTGCGGATATCCTCATTTCTGAGTCTATCACGCAGAGAAACTCCGAGCATAGCCCTCTCCATAGCTCGCTGAGCGACCTTGAGCGTCCTCATACGGCCAGCAGTGAAGGACCACGTCTCAGATCCGTAAGTCATCACTGGCAACACGCACTGGTTGTACAATGTACCTCAATCTCTGAAAACTAGAGTTTTCAGAGATTGAGGTATACCTGACGAGAAGATGTGTCGTAATTTCCCGAACGCTGCCTAGCCGAGTTGAATCCGTCGATTGACCTCTCGGTCGAAGTTGGACTTACCTAGTCGGACTATTTGTCCCAGGTAAACATACTCGTCAACAACTTCGAGCATAGTGCTCCCAACAACTACCGGCATAGGTCTGACATGGACATTAAACATGATCTATGTTTTGTCCATGTTCATCTTAAGACCTATCCGTTGGGAGACACCATTGAGGTCATTGAGCATAGTGCTTAGGTCCTCCAGCGATTCTGCCATAAGGACTATATCGTCGGCAAATCGAAGGTGAGTGATGTACTCGCCATTGATATTAATACTGTATCCTTTCCAGTCCAGGAGCTTGAAAACGTCTTCCAATGCAGCGGTGAAGAGTTTCGGGGAAATAACGTCACCCTGTCTTACACCTCTCTGCAGTTGGATAGGTTTCGAGCTCTGGTTCTTTACTTGGATAGCCATCGTAGCCTACTGTACAAACACTTCAGCACTTCGATATACCGACAGTCAACTTGGCACCACTGAAGTGACTGTAGCACTTTTTGTTTTCATATATAAATATATTCCCTGATATAGGTGGTTATCCATCATCTAATAGAAAAAAACTGTAAATTCTGGATGTTTCCATAATATCATCTCTTACAGCCCTCCCAGGGTGAGATGAAGCGTTAGATGAATAAATATAAAACATAACTAATTTTGATTTTTTTTTCTGTTAGGAGGGCTCAGTCCGCAAGCACACGTACCAGACGATCGGCGAGATTCCTGTTTCGGAGCTGGATATCTTCCGTGTGGAACGTATGTGGAAGCACAAGGACACGCAAGAGCGATATGTGTATGGACATCACTACTTAAGGCCGCACGAGACCTTCCACGAGCCTACCAGAAAGTAAGTGTCGTTTATGTAAAATAGCACTTGTATAAAATATACATTTATCATAATGCATTTTAATGTCAATGTATTATGTATAATATTTTTTAGACATTTGTGACATAAATGACTAAATCTCAATAATATCAGTTATTTTGCAATTATTTATTCAGTATCAAATAATTTCCAATTATTTGGTATTTAATTCACTAAGAAATTAATTTAGTCTCCTCATCCATAATAGTAAAAAAATCTCCCAATTAATTAGTAGTTTTAAATTAAAATTCTATACATTTACAACAATATTCAGTATCCGTTATAATGATGTGTATTACCTGACAATATCTCAATTAATTTCGAAGCAATTTTTTTAAAACTGGATTTTTGAAAATTATAATTCGCTTTTCAGGTTCTTCCCCAATGAAGTGATGCGGGTTCCATTGTATGAAGCAGTTCCTATAGAGCTGGTCATGTCACAGTGTTGGGTTATGGACCTTAACACTTATTGCAAGGTATATATTATGATTCTTTATTATTGTCTTTTTAAAAACACAAAGCAATAACATTATATATATACTTCAAATTACAAATATGGTCCGTTAAATGTGTATTAACCCGTTCTCTGTTCCACAAATCATATATGAATATTTTAATTGTTTTACTATTGTGTCTGTTTCACAGACATGAAACCTGATAATTATTGTTTATTTTATAAAGTGACATCTTAGTGTATGGTTAACTTTGGTTTATCCTGCTCACTTTAAGGACCTTGCTTGCGGCGTCGTCCACTTCCCTTTAACATGTTCGAAGAGGGTGGTGGCTGTCACATGCGTCACACTTGTGAACAGGTGCTGCTTGTGGTGACACTGGTCTGCTCCGGGAAAATATATCTTTACTAGTTTTAGTTTTTCATATTATTTTTTGTTTTATTGTGTAATTTTATCATAGAACATGTTACTATTATATTCTCTTTAAATACCATTTAAATTATTGTACCATTGGTATTTAAAAATCCTACATAAAGAGAATATTCGCGCAGTTTCTATCGCCGTTCCTTCACCAGGCGGCGGAACCTCATTTTGAAACGGTAGTTGATTAAAAAAATTGTTGACATTTGAAAAAGAATTTTCTTTTCATTCATTTCATATAACTTATTTTACAATATTTTTTATACTAGCTTGCCAGGCAGATGTTGTTCTGCCCTTTTCGACGACACTTTGACATGTCCTATTAAAAATCCTTCAACCCGCAAAATGAAATATTGTGGGTCACTGGACACACACACATGGGCAAGAAAACTATCCATCTCTCAAGTTGCACCAAACTGCACACGGTGTACAAATTTCATTAAAATCAGTTAACCTGTTAGCTCGCGAGGCCACGCGTAACATTGACATTCCCGTTCGCTCACGACCGTAATGGCGGGAAAATTTGCAAATTAGCAAATTTTTTGCTATATTGCAATTTTTTGCTATATTGCAAATTTTTGCTATATTTTCACTTTGAGACAATATTTATGGATAAAACTTACAGGAATTCTTGTTGAATGTATAAACTACTGAATAAAATTATTATGGTTGCTAGAAATTATAATAAAATTCATAAATTACCCTTTATAGCATAGTAGTAGTATATACTTCACTTTTAGTGCCAAAATTACTACTAATTTGAATTCTACACTTTTGTTTTTGGAGAAATTTATATGAAAATGTTTGGAAATATGTATATTTTTATGTTTTATGTGTTTCTATTCGTTACTCATACCAAAATATTAAAAAATTAAAAAAAATAAAAATAATAATATTTATCTGTATGACATTTCGAACAATATTTCAAAAATATTTTTTTGTGAATTTGAAATAAATACAACGTCAAGTTATTTGAAAAAATGTAAGAAAACTATTTTTACTTACATTTTACACTAAAAATAAATGAGAATTGGAAAAATAACACATTTATGACCCAACCGCCAAAATGGGCGTTCCGTATTTCGAAGTACTTTTGGCAATTTACTTTTCACTTTTTATACCACAAATTATATATCTACGTGTTTACTATATTACAAGGAATATAAAAAAGTATAATACTTTCGTTTTTAGTCCAGACACAAATATAAAATTCTATAAAAAAAGACGGAGCACCTTCATCAAAGCGACACGTGGAACGCCGAAAGTTCAGAGTGATTTCTTTTTTTTTTCTAAGAAACATTGCCAGGTTATGGTTTAAAATAAAAGAGCATATCTTTGTCTTTGATACTATTATCTATTGCATAGTGTCTTTGGTTTTGTTTTAATTAAAAAAATTCTTTTTCAAAGGGTAGTACTTGTTGTACACATGTGTACCTCGATCGAGCGAGCGTAAGGTGTTTATTTCTTGTACACATGTGTACTGTCGGCGACTTTACAGTAGCTTAGGAGTGCATCGTGTACAAACAACGTGACACGTAATTTATATATATTAAGATTTTTTGCAAAGCTTCTCGATATTGGCTACAGCTTATCAAGCAAAGTTATTACGCATATATATTTAATACACAAAATCACACAAGTTTTCCGAATCAAAATTCATTTCAAACTATTATATCGCACCGATAATACAAAATCTTGGCAGCTTTTCCCGATGGCGGGAGCTTCCCGAACGATTTCGGAATTTTTAAATTGAACGATGAATTGGTAGATAGCGGCGTGGTAGCACAGTGGCTAAGCTAAGCTACGTTTCTGGGTACCACGAGTTTGATTCCGGCATACCTACTTGTATAGGCTATAAATATGTTCCAGGTCTAGAGAATTTTCCATACGCAACTCCTTATAAATGTAAAACGTCTCCACGGCACAGGAGAAATTCTAATGCTGTCTATGTTTTGTTCGCAGGGCCGGCCAGTGGGCGCTTCCGAACAACATGTGTACATCTGCGAACTTCGCGTGGACCGCACTGCGCGCCTTTTTACCAAGGTGTCGCGTCCCAAGTACCCGGTGTGCACCAAGCCATACGCCTTCGATCACTTCCCACAACGGCTCAAGATAACGCGCACCTACGCAGTGAGTATCTATACATAGACATTCCCAGGGCTGTACTTACGAATTGTCATCGCGGTCATATGCTCATGGCCCCACAGTACAAAATTTTTTGTTTATAGTTTGGGCTAGTTACCATAATATAAAATATAGAAAGATCGGCAAAGCAGTCTGGCAAAGTTGTCGTGTTTGTCATTAAAAGTGATTTACTTCCAAAAAGGTAGCAAAGTTATTGGAACATTGAGAAAACATTTTCCAGTGTGAAAAATCCACATACCTCTTAGTAGATCCATTAGAAGTTTTAAAAGAAATGTGACATAGATTAATTATATTTCTAACTTTCGAAGCAATGACTACTACAATATGTATGTATACTTATGTCTTGCACAGTTCTCAACCTCCGTTGTAAAAAAAAAGAAAATTAAATTGGTTGTCCTTGACCAGTGCCTATGGTGGATCAATATAATAAAGATATCATCAAATTTAAAATTATGTTATTACTTTTACAGCCACATGAAGTTTCACCGGAATACTTAAAGGGTAGAGCTGCTAAGAGCGCGGCGCCTAGTGACAAGGCAAATAAAAGTTCACAAGAAGTAAAGAAGAAGTCCGCGAGCGTACCTGTCACAGTAAAGGTAAACAATTTTGTTTTTGATTTTGTAGGAGTTGTTTAACAAACTTTAATGAAACTGGTAATTATAGTTATAAAATATATAAAACGTGTTTAAAATAAAATATTATAATTAACTTTTTTTAAACAACCCTGTATTGAATGGACTACTATAATTATTGAAATGTGTAACTATTTTATGACTATCACTCAATGAAATCAAGCAAGTTGGTACTTGTTTTGCTTGATTACTGGTAAACAAGGGTGTCTTAACGATTCTCATTTAGGTTACAGTTTTGGTTCTGGTATCAGACCCCTAAATATCTGTTTCTTTCCACTATTATTGAAACATTTTTAATCCCAGTCTAAACATGATTGTGTATTTTTGATTTTAAAACGGTGATTGTTGTCAGGCGTCGTCATGTTCGTCGACGGAGTTGCAGTCATCAGAGCGTCGCGAGCGTCAAAAGGAACGTGTGAACAATATCGCGCGGCGGCTGCTCGGTGCGGGTGGCGGCGCGGGGAGGGGGGCACTCGACGCGTCCTACCTGTTGGCACGCACTTCGCCCCCTGCGCCCCCAACTCGCCCTGCGCCCCCGGCTCGCCCCTCAGCTCCCGCGCCCCCAGCACGCCCCTCGCGTCGCCCTCGCCGCCCTCCGCCTCGCACTTCCTGACGCTGCCGCACCTGCCACGCATAGAATAGCCACCCCGCTGCCACAATACTCTGAAGACCGCTAATAGCAAAAAAAGTTTAAACACCGTTTAAGCCACTACAGTGAATAGTATACTTACTTGTGGAGATACAGTGGATTTCTCCCTGATTAGATCTATATTGTTATGGAGAATGTTATGGACCTGTATTGAAGAAGATTGTGAACTACTATGTATGTTGTGTAAGTACTACGATACAAGTATTAGGGGATATTATGGACCCATACTAAGAATGCTGTAAACTTGTTTGTGGGAAGGCTTTGGAATAGTGGTGAGCAAACTGAAAATTACTTATGACAGAAAAGTGTGGACCTTTATTTAAGAATGTTGTGTAAGCATATTGTGGACTCAAATGTAATAACTCTGTGGACTCACATTTGAGGATTGTAGGTTCTCTAATGTAAGAATCATAAGATCTCTAAAGAGCGTGCAGGTCTGAAACAGGATGTATAGAGTCGCATCTCAAGACATTTTGGACTTGTTTCGCTGTGTTAATTAAAATCTGAGCACATTCAACAAGTTATATTATAATTAATAAAAGTCCACTTGTAAAACAGTCTCGTCCACATTGTGAAACTTACAATGTATCAGTTACATGCTCACATGCATAGTGAAAAATATCAACTTTTAGTATTTAACAAGTATTTAAACAAGGCATGGATGAGCCTGGCTTAGATTATGTTGGAATAATGAATGCATCAAATCCATAAACTAGAAAAACATTCATACCATGCTTACCATACTAGTATTTGTCCTATGTACTTACATAATCAAACCAATCCAAATTGCTGTGACATAGAAAAAGCCTGTCAATGAAAAACTTTGATACAGTCTAATTCTGATTATTTATTGAATGATTATAATACTCATTAATTTAAAAAAAATCATGGGGAAAAAAGGGGCGTTACATCCACCAAATATATGGGATGGCAGTTTCAATTTCAATTTGTACCTTGAAAATTTAATGCGCTTTTCTTTTTATAATTAAATTCCGGTTATTAAGGGTGGTTAATCCATGGCTTGTTTTGTTTCCAACTTAAAATTTCTTTTCAGGTGTATGTTGATATTTTTCTGTAATTATAATGCACGAAGAGTATATAATAATATCCTATCATCTAACACTTGCCAATAATCTGTATAATGAATCGTAAATATATTTGCTATTTTCATAAATCTGCAAGAAGCTATAAATCTTAAGAGGGAAATGGTAATTTCATGTGGCAGGTAAATAGCGGCTTTAAAAACAAAAATAAATAAGAACATTTAAAACTTAGCCTAATTTATACTGTTCCAATAAGAACTCCTTATTGAGCTGTCAATAACGAGTTAAAATTAATGTAATAAATAAAACTTAATCACAATATATAAAAGAAAAATCAACCATTTGATGGTGACTGCAGCACCCACTAAAGTAGTCCTACATATTTGTGTTTATTGATGAAAATATGTAGGTGGAATTGTGGTGATCTTTGTAAGTATAGAATAGTAATATACACCTATAAAAGCACCGTAATATATAAACTAAAACACCATCTTTTTCATATTGTATTATAGATAAAAAATTGTAAAGCTTGTCCCAATGGACATAAAATAATTTGTAAGTGTGCTAAGAAATCAGCATGTTATGAGTTGCTGATAACATTATTTATTACAAGCTATTTTATTTAAACAGCAAAGAAATAAATATTATCGATAATTAAAAGTAATCTTTAAATTACCTAACTGTTGTAACATTTAACTTTAAGTAAATTCTATTAGTTTATATTTATCAATTTTATTGCTTTAATATGAAGATATTTTATCTTCTAAAAATAGTTGTAACTGCTTTAGGCAGTTATGTACATTAAATTTAAAATTTATAATATTTATTACATTCCTCCAACATTTATGGTTTGAGACAATAAAATGGAGCAGATCGGATGCAAATGTCCCATGAAATATAGATCATTGTATGGAATCTCGCGTAATTTGTAAATAAACCTAACATCATAGTGTGATGATAAATTATAATATTTTTGTAATATAAATAATTTAACTGTGTCTAACTAAACATAAGTGTTTAATTGTGACATTAGATTATATTACATTGTAGGTTATAATTTATTTTCCATTTTTTATCTTAGTATTGACTATTTTTCAGTCATATTTACAATTGTAATCTCAAGAATAATTGATTATAAGTATCAGATTAAGTCTTGTGTGCTTGAGCTGTTTTATACAACAGCAAAATTATTTAAGTTATATTTTTATATAGGTTAGTTGATATTGTTAAAAACTTAACGATAATTATGATAGACTAATGAAATTATCATATAACGACCACTGGTGCGAAGTGATGTTAAGCGTTGAAAAGTTTTAATAGGGTTAGACACGGTCAAGTTGTTTGGAGGTTGTTAATATAATATTAGATGTGGATAATTACGTCACTTAATTATCTCCCAGTAGGCGTATTTTACACTGGATAATGTTTATTTCAAGACGTCTGGTCATTATGATATCCTGCTCTATGTGAGATAGAGGTTCTATGGTCATGCCTTATATCATGTACTAAAAATCTCTCTATATTTTTTATGTGTTATATAAGTTGTACATATTATAGATGTAAGGTGATTGGTTGTTTTAATTTAATTAAAAAATATATATTCTGGTTACTGCATGGAAGTCCGACATATAAGTTTTCCTGCTGTTTACATTGTCATTGCACGCCGCCGTGCTATTAATTTGCTAGCCTTAATAATTGTGATTACTGAGAACAAATTGTTTTTGTTTCTAATTTATTTGTAAATTACTGTTAGTTTTTAAACATTATTCTTAGTATGTCGATAAAGGCTTTTTTCTTTTTATATTATTATGTACGTACTGGTGACATATTGATTGTATGTGGTACTATTGCTTTTCTGTGCAAATACGCTATTTACAATTATCACAACACTGGAGCGAACTCAATAGGTAAAGGCAAATTGATCCCAAAATTTAGTACAAAAGTCCACCGAAATAAGACGACTGTGATGTGATGTCTTTAGACCTTTTGTAGTCTCTTCACTATCTTATATTATCATCAACTTTTTACACTTTTCTTAGAAAGTTTAGTAGAAATCAGTTTTAGACAATTAATATATAATATTGTTGACTATTGTAAAGTATAATTATGGACCCGAAGTTTTTAATAAATACCCGTCGATAGTGCTTTTTGTTCGCGTACACAAATCAGCACTGTAAAAGTTTTGCCTTGTAGATAGACATAATGACACGACGCACACAACATTATTAAAATATCGACATAATAAATACTTTTAATAACGATTCTGTCACTTTACAGTATTTCATATTTCAATATGTACTTAATTAATTAGAGAACCAATAGATTATATACAATAGACATAATCATAATCAAAGTAGAACTTTTTCATTGCTCTGTGCCTGATTCTAACGTGTAACTATATTTGATATCGTTGGGATAGCCGAAGCACAGTATTAGATAAATATTTTGGGATCAAAATTTATTAATTCACTTAGCAATTGGCAACAAAAATAATGTATTGTTAATATCTTGTATTCACTTGAATTTTACACAGTCCAATACAATCAAAATGTGATTTGTGTTTGGTTTACTTTTACATAAATTTATTTTATGATGTGCCACCTATCTCGCCTATCCCGCATAATTTAATAAGATGCTTTGGTGATAACAATAGGTTTATACTTTTTCATCATTTCTATCTACTTCCTTTGACATTATTTTATTCTTTCAACTCGTGTCAATAAGTGTGAATTTCACAAGATTTATTATATCTTGTACTTTAGTTAGATAGATCCTGACTTTTATCTGACTTCTTTTTGTCCCGTTTACTATTAATAAAAGTTAACATGATCTAGATAAGTTGCTGTTTAATTTTTTCGTCATATTTGTAATACAACCCTAAATTGTAAAAATAAAAAATATGTTCTTGGACTGTGGTTTTCAAGTGACTCACCGAAACGAAATACATTTGGAATATTCTGTTGTCGTTTGATATATTGAGCAGCTTTATAATTGTATCAATGTAGGTCTTTGTTTAAGATGCCATTTGTTGTAACTCATGTTTTAATATTAAATTAAAATCTGATTTATTGTTCTTTTATTCATATTCCACCTCTAAATCAACAAAGGTAAGTCGCGTCGGTAAGTTTTGACCGCTCTCTAGACGCCACACACGGTCAGTTAAAATGATCAGTTGAACCATTGAAGTATACAATATACATACTAGAACAGCTATTTCAAACAAAAAATTTGCGCTACTCTGTGTTCGCGCGGATGTTTTTTTCATCATAGAATAAACAGGTAGGATGATCAGTAGGTAATAGTAGATTATATTGTTAAAGGTAAATTATATACCATCAAAAACATAAAAAACCAAGTCTCGCAACGCAGTTCTACCGTAAAAAGTACCTAACATATATATATATATATATATATATATATATATATATATATATATATCGTCGGCCTATTTCGTTAACCTGCTAAGTCCATTTTTGGCAAAATTTGCTTTTTATACCAGTCAAAAAGTTCAGTCTAATATCTTTCGTAACGTTTAGAGAATAGCAGCGATATTAGCCTAAAAAGGTGACAAATGCTATGCCCGAAAAACTGCTTTCTGACCAACAGCCAATCTCCACAACGCAAACCTGCTAAATCCTATTGGGGCCTCAGTTTTACAATCAAAACGTTCCCAAACCCACGTGCCGCTTGCGACGCGTCAAGTTTTGTCGTGTTTTAGTCATATATTTGAGGATTTAAACAATTAGTTATAAACTAGGTAAGTTTATATTGTTTTATCTCTAAGTTTTTATTTTTTTTAGTGTCCAAATCAAATGTTTTTCATCACATTTAAGTCCCAACCTAAACATAAGGGACTTAGCAGGTTTACGAACTATATTATTTTATTTGTACACGGATTTGGCAGTTTATCAATTTAATATTTTTTTATTAACTTATTGCTAAATTAAAGATAATTTCGAAGATGTTACTCATTAAATAAATTATAAAACAAAGTATGTATACACAAATAAACTGTTAAGTTAAAGTCTGTTTAAGGTCTGTATAAATAATAAATTTCACATATTTTGTCATAATTTTATTCTTCTTCTTATTCAATTTTATTTGATTAAATAATGGTTTTTTCGATATTTTCAGAATGAATCGCGGGGAAAAAATTGTGGCTTTGGTTTCTGAGGCTTGTACCTCACGGGATAGACCTGAAAAAGTAGCTCCGAAGTTAAATTATGATCCAAATAAAGTAGTACACGTTTTGGAAGATATTCAGTTACAATATTCAAAATCAAGAAAGTCTATACCAGAACCTTCAAATTCAGTTGTTGACAAAACTTATTATGAGATAAATGACAATATCAATATAACATCACTGACTGATCTAGATCTACCAAATACTTTTATTACAGAAAATATAAATCATACAATTTGTTCTGACATTACATTTCCCAATACTACATTCAATGACGTGCCTTTAGACGATAAATTGTTGTCCACGGTTTATGATATTCACAACACTTTCACGACAGACGAGAATTTGATTATAATACCATCACAAATTGAAATAGAATCTCAATCAACAAATATTTTGACCTCAGACAACATACACAATTCCGATGCGGATACCATTCAAACATTAGGTAATATAATATCTCATGAAACAAGTACTAGTTCTTTAGAAATTATAACTCATGTTGAAAATACACATCATGTTATACCTAATCCACCAATATCGGATGTTAGCGATACAGAGAAAAAGCTTGTGCCTTATTCTGATTCTGACTTAGATTCGCTTGTTAAGATCAAAAAGATTAAGAAACGAAAGAAACGTTTTAACGTTGATAAAAAAGAATGGGTTAACGAAAAGAATAAACAAAGAAGACAAGAAGGTAAAACATATTTTGGGAGAGAGAAAAAGCAAGACTGTTGGAATTATAATACAACTAAAAAAGCACGTTTCATTAAATCAAGATGCTCCTGTAAAATTGGGAAGTACAATACTTTAAAATGTGAAACAGAGATGAAGGTGTAAGAAGGAGCATTTTTAATCGATTTTGGAATTTTTCATGGGGCGAAAAAAAACTCTAGTGAACGAATGGGTTACAACTATTCCAATTGTCCGGCCACGAAATCGAAATATCGAAGGGACAACCAGGAGGGCTAACACCTTTGTTTATCTTTTAAAAGTAAATGATAAAAGTGTCAAAGTTTGTCGAATGATGTTTTTGAACACATTGGATTTAGGAAGATGGACGGTTCAAAATTGGAAGCAGGAGTTTTCAATGCGCCCTCCTAGTACATTGAGACGTCCAACACAATTATCTGAATTGACTTCGAAGCCGAAACAATCACTTATTTAGTTTCTGGAGTCTCTTCCCGTAATGGAATCTCATTATTGTCGATCAACGTCACAGAAATTATATTTATTGCCAGAATGGAATTCCAAAGAAAGCCTCTACCAATTTTACGTTAACGATTGGTGTAAAGAGCGAAATATTAAAGCTCTCTCCATAAGTTTATTTTCGAATTTATTTGAAGACAAAAATTTGGCCCTATTTAAGGCGAAAAAAGATCAATTCGAAAAATGCGCCTGTTATAAAGTAGGAACAGTTACAGAAGAAGAATACAAAGAACATATTAACCACTAATCTCTCTATTTTACCTTTAAATTCTACTCATCACTCCTAATGCTACTCCGTCATTGCTCGATCTTATCTTTGTGTCCTCTTCTGAACTCGCTGTTAAGAATGGTCAGTGTTCAGCGGATGCCTTCTCTTACCACGATCTTATATTTCTCTCTTATAATGTCCGGCCACCTAAAATTAAGTCTAAGTTTCTTCTGCAACGCAGTTTTGGTGGTATGAATATACAAAATCTTTGCGAAGATGCTTCCAACATTGATTGGTCAGCCGTTTTAAATGCAGAATCAGTTGACGATAAAGTTGCAATATTTACGACTTACCTCACCTGTCTCTATGATAAACATGCACCAGTTCGCGTAATTAAAATGAGACATCGCCCTTCACCATGGCTGACTGATGAAATAAAATCCATTTTAAATAAAAAAGCTGCAGCCAAGACAAAATATAAATGTAGGCCTACATCTATAAACTGGGAAAAATATGTCACTATTCGAAATCACTGCAATAGGGTATGTAGGGATGCTCAACGCCACTATATCCATAAATCAGTACAAATTGGTGATGCGGCTAAAGTCTGGAGTTTTCTTAGATCAATGGGGGTTGGAAAGTCTCGTAATAATGTACTCTCTAAAGATTTAAATATTGATTTACTAAATCAGTTCTTCTCATCCTCGTCCAACTTAAATGGGACTACAAAATTTAACACATTAAATTTTCTTTCATCGCTTCCAACTCCTGATCATCCATCTTTTGTCCTAAATCAATTTTCTGCTTGTGATGTTAAGAAGAGTACTCTATCCATTACTTCGAATGCAATCGGCAGCGATTGTATCAGCCGTAATATGATCCTTCCGATTCTTGACATAATCATCCCAATACTTTGCCATATCCTAAACTCCTCGATTTCTAGTGGTGTTTTTCCAACAACTTGGAAAGACGCTCACATCATACCGTTGCCTAAAAAACCTAACCCTACATCTTTTTCGGAATATCGTCCTATATCTATTTTGCCATTCCTGTCCAAAGTTCTCGAACGCTTGATATATAATCAGCTCAATGCTTTCCTCCACAATCATTCCCTTCTAAATCCTCTACAATCCGGTTTTCGCCCTGGGCATAGTACTGCTACAGCCTTAGTCAATATTACGGAAGATATTAGATCTGCAATGGAAAATGGCAAGTTAACTATCCTTTCTCTGTTAGATTTTAGCAATGCCTTTAACTCAGTTGATTTTGAAATTTTACTGGGTATACTTAGCTCTCTTAACATATCTCCAACAGTGATTGATTGGTTTCGAAGTTACCTGTCTGGGCGCCGGCAACGTATTCGCACTGATGACACATTTTCTTCTTGGTGTGATACCATTGCTGGCGTCTCGCAGGGTGGCGTATTATCTCCCTTACTTTTCTCAATTTTTATTAATTCTATAGCCACTAAGATTACTTCGTCCTACCACCTTTACGCAGATGATCTTCAAATATATACTCATGTTTCTCCTAGTGAAGTAGATGTAGCTATTAGCAACATAAACAGTGATCTTGAGCAAATATCAGATTGGGCAAAAACATATGGCTTGAAGATTAACCCCCTAAAGACTCAGGTAATTATCATCGGAAGTTCGTATATGATTGGAAAATCTAACATATCTCAAGCACCTCAAGTTGTTTTTAATGGAAATTTTATTCCTGTGAGTGAAAAAGTCAAGGACTTGGGAATTTATATTGACAGTAACCTATCATGGGGTCCTCAAATACAGGAGGTTAGTCGTAAACTCTTTGCAGCTGCCCGATCGTTGAACAGATTAAGGAATTTTCTACCTACTGCCACTAAAATTGCGCTTGCTCAATCTCTTCTTCTCCCAATTGTGGACTATGCAGATGTCAGCTATCTCGATCTCAATGAGAAGCAACTTGATAAACTTGAGCGTCTTCAAAACTTTTGTATAAGATTCATATTTGGTTTGCGCAAATATGATCACGTATCTTGTTTTCGTAATAAGCTCAAGTGGCTTCCTATCCGTCTTCGCCGGAATGCTCATATTCTGTCACTTCTTTACAATGTTCTCTTTAATCCTTCCGATCCTTCTTATCTTAAGGATCGTTTTGAATTCCTTCACTATTCCCATTCGAAAGTTTTGAGATCATCAGAGAATTTTACATTAAAAATGCCTGCCCATAATAGCAAATTTATGGACAAGTCGTTTAGTATCCAAGCAGTCCGTCTATGGAATGCCCTACCTCTGGCAGTGAGACGCGCCCAGTCTTTACCTGTTTTTCAGAAACTTGTACACAGTCACTATCTTAATCTTTGAGTTCGTGCCATTTATATATGTAGTATACATTCGTATTTTTTTTTGTATTTATTTGTTGTTTATTTCTAATTATATTATATAAAATAAGGATATTTTTATAAATATTGTTTCTGCATCACCAAACCACACAATTTACTATTTTTTGCGATCCTGTCCATCCAAAGGTTGTCTGGAAGAAATCGCTTTTAGCGATAAGACCGCCCATTGTGACACTATTTTTTTTTTCTTCTTCTTTCGTTTTTGTATTGATTTGGTGTACAATAAAGAATTATCTATCTATCTATCTATCTATCTATTGAGAGAAGTAAACAAGCAAGAGAGGAAAAATATGCGGATAAAAAGGGAGAAAATTACGTTTTCACAGTGGACTTACAGGCTGTACTAATGGCACTAAAATCGAATGTCAGTACGCTATACTATAAAACGAAGCCACAAGTTCACAACCTTTGCTTTTTTAATATAAAAAATAAAGATAGCTTCTGTTTCATATGGAATGAAGTAGAAGGTGGACTTAATGCTGAAGAATTTGCCTCCATTTGGGTTGACTTTATAGAAAACAAAATAATACTTCCTGAAGTTAATGCTGAAGATGAGAAAAAAACAATTATAATTTATAGTGTGAAGTTAATGCTGAAGATGGGAAAAAAACAATTATAATTTATAGTGACGGTTGCACATACCAAAATAGAAATTGTATTTTATCTAACGCTCTTTTGAACATTGTCATGAGGCACAAAAATTTAGCTATCGAACAAAAATTTTTAGAGGTGGGTCACACCCAAATGGAGGCCGATTCAATGCATTCCACTATAGAACGTCAGCTTAAGAACAAGGTCATAAATGTGCCAGCTGAATACATATCTATTGCTAAGCATGCTCGTAAATGCCCAGTATCCTATTATGTAACATATTTGGACCACACTTACTTCAAAAACTTCGACAAAATTCAGTTTTATAAAAGTATTCGCCCAGGAAGATCCAAAGGGGATCCTAAGGTCACTGACATTCGTGCACTACGTTACGAAAGCAATGGATCAATTCTTTATAAAACTTGCTATAAGGATGAATGGCAAAGTTTACCACAAAGACGATCTTTGCAATGTAATCCTTGCGAGATTACTCAACTATCTCAATTGTATCAGAACCGACGTAAAATCACTGCACGAAAATTTGAAGACTTGCAGCAAATAAAAAAGACCCTTCCTTCTGACTATCATAAATATTATGATGACTTGCCTCATGAATAAAATAAGAAGTACTAATAATTAGATTTTAAGTAAAATTACAACTTTACTTTACTTATTGTTAATTTAAAATTTTTGGAAAATTGTTTCTCTTTTATCTTAGTATTAATAATAATTGATTGTGATACCTGTAGTAGTAAAACACGTTTAAATGCTTGTCATTAATAATAATAAGATACTTAGGACAACTCGTAATACCACAAAAACACCACATAATCACGTATATTAAAACTGTTACAGATTTTTTATGAAAAGAGTCTATCTTAGATATTACCTATAACCCTGTTTCCTATTAAAGAAGACTGATTGTTTAATTTTTAATAATAAATAGTTCGATTACTGATTGAATGTGTTTCACTACGCAATTCATTAATCTATACACCATACTAAATTAAAGACAAAAACTGCTAAGTCCTCAAGTAAATTGAATTTTTCTTGAATTTTATAAAATGTGTATAAGTTATACTACTAATTATATTTTTAAAATATCAAAAAAAAAAAATTAGAGACACCAACGGGATTTTCAGAATTTTGATTGCTATTAGTTTTTTCTTCGTCCTGTAAACTATGAAAATATGGACTTAGAAGGTTAACAAATTAGGCCGACGATATATATATATATATATATATATATATATATATCTATATATATATATATATATATATATATATCTATATCTATATATATATATATATATATATATATATATATATATATATATATATATAAACATTTTATAGAGATTAAGATATATAATAAAATTGATATGGTCACTATAAAATTTTGTTAGGTTAGCTAATTACGTAATAACTTAAAACAGAAGGACCCTTGAGTAGGGACTGAATAAATTATCCGACTTGGTATAACATGGATCTCACAACTTTTTACGGTAGAAGAACTGAGTTGCGAGACTTCATTTTTTACAGGTTATGTTTTTGATGGCATCTCATTTCTTTTTGTAGATAAGATAGTCCTACTTTTTTACCTTTCCGGTACCTTCTACTTCCTGAATACCAACAATGTACCTACCTACACCTATTATACATATTCAAGTACACTGATTCATTAAATTAGTAATTCTATACATTTATTTGGGATTACAAAGTTATTTATGCAGTTGGTGTATCTAGAGAACTGGATCGTATTTAAAAAATATTTTAGTTTTTCCTTGATTTATACACTAAACACTAATTGTATTCTAAATTTGAAACTTCTATGTCTGCTAGAAGTGCCTTAGAGTTATGATGATCGGTCAGTCAGTGAGTGACAAAATTAAGAAAATTGGACTAGTTATAATTATTCTTAAACTACTGGTTAAGTAACTCTTCATTGTATATGTATATGTCAACTCGGCTGGTGAAAATTCAGGCTTCTAGTTTTAGAGATATACAAAATTACATTTCTTTTTAAGATAGATAAGAAGCGAATAAATAAACTGGGGAAAATTAATAGAATAAAATAAGTATAGATTGGGTAGTAGTAGATTAAATGATTTATGAGACAAAATAAAAAAATAAAACTTTTAATTGAAAAAAAAAAATATCGACTCGATATTCATAGCTTAGCCCACCGCGCAACCAAGGGTGTCGCCCCGCCCCTTCGTCGAGCATCGAGCGAACGTGCTAATGCTGGTGCTACACTAACGGAAAACGTCAATGTCCATAAACGCAGCAAGTATTGCTTTAAATTTGAACGCTCCACGTGATAAAATTTCAACGCCATTGAACGGCGTTAAAGTTGGCGTTAATGTTCCTTGAAGATTTTTTATATTTGGTAAAAATGGTCTTATAAAAACCCATTAAGTTTTCCTTCGCCTTTCTAAGTCTTCGATAGTTGTATTAAAATATAATAATTGGATAATTCGTCGCAAAGCATCATTTTGCGCTGTACGATTCTTAAAACTTTTGAGTCTCGGATCCCACAAACAATGCTCTGTTTGCAGAATCTTAAGAAACGTAATAACTTTTTATTATTCCGCTCCATCATAGCCATACGTACCCGACCCTGTTGTGCTCATTGTGCACAGTCAGACAAACGTAGTGTGTCCGCTTCAACGCGTTATTTCGTGCGTTAATCTCTTTGATGTACCGCTACTTGAGTAATCGCCAAATGGCAAACGGCATTGTTAATGTCATTGTCAAATTAACGCGTTAAGTCGTGGCCACACCTACATTCAACGTCCATCAACGCGATAATTAACGACATTTCTCGTTATTGTGGCCTCGGCATAAGATTGTACAAAAATGATAAAATTAACAAGCTCCGTTGCGCAGTGGCTTAGCGATGAATTGATGTCCTGGGGGCCGCGAGTTCGAATCCCGCACGGAACAAGTATTTGTATGGTCTACAAATAATTTTTCCGGGTGTGGATGTTTTTCTTTGTGCAAATTATGTTTGTAAACTGCCTCCACGATACAGGAGAAAATCCTAGTGTAGGGGATTATTTGATTTGTTTGATAATCAAATATGTTGAGTTTTATAAAATGATACATTTTTCGTATTATATTAAGTTACATAACACATATAGGTACACCATATTTAGTTTAGTTCTCTTTATTTTTTTTATGTTTTCTCCCCTTTGGGGGCATAATTTTTTTAGAAGTGTCACAGATAAATTTGCGTGACTCCTATAAATTAATAATAATTAAAATAATGATGTCACTGAGATCCTACACACCTTTAAATTGCAGCATCGGAAAGGTGAGATGATAACAGTCACCTAGGTCTTTGTGAGCCCTTTAAAATGAGGTCAAACACGATTGTACTATCTAGTGGCGTCACTGAGATCCTATATCCACCTTCTTATTGCACCATCAAAAAGATGAGATCATAATAGTCATCTAGGTCTTTATGTGCCCCTTCAAATGAGTTCAAACATGATCGTCCTATATAGTGGCGTCACTGAGATCCTATACCCAGATATGCCAGAAGTGCAGTTCACACAGCGCTCGGTTCGCAAAGCACTCCGCTCCCTGGACATCAACAAGTCGAGTGGGCCTGACGGAATCCCCCAATTGTGCTGAGGACGTGTGCTCCAGAGTTGGCACCGGTTTTAACGCGTCTTTTTCGGTACTCATACTCCCTAGACGTAGTCCCAAAATCATGGAAGATGGCTTTCGTCCACCCGATCCCTAAAAAAGGCGACCGCTCAGACCCGTTCAACTATCGGCCTATCGCCATCACCTCCTTGTTCTCCAAAACAATGGAGTACATTGTCAACTGCCAGCTCATGAGGTACCTTGAGGATCACCAGCTGAATAGTGATCGCCAATACGGTTTTCGTCGTGGTCGATCAGCTGGTGATCTTCTGGTCTACCTAATTCATAGATGGGCGGAGGCAGTAGAGTCCAAGGGGGAGGCATTGGCCGTTAGTATGGACATTGCGAAGGCCTTCGATCGGGTTTGGCACAAAGCGCTTCTTTTGAAGCTCCCTTCATAGGAAGGGAGCTTCCCGAGAAATTGTGCAATTGGATCACCAGCTTTCTTGCAGATCGGAGCATCAAGGTCGTTGTAGACGGTGCAAGCTCCGATTACAAGCCTATCAATGCTGGTGTTCCACAAGGCTGCGTGCTATCGTCAACGCTGTTTCTTTTGCATATCAATGATATGTTGCAAACCCGTAACATTCATTGCTATGCAGATGACAGCACTGGTGATACTCTGTACACCGGCCGTGCCAATATTTCTCGGGAAAACGTCTCCGAGTACCGGGACAAACTTATGTCTGAAGTCGAGTTTTTGCTGAACAGAGTCTCGGATTGCGGGCGACTAAATCTAGTCCAGTTTAAGCCTCAGAAGACACAAGTTTGCGCGTTAACCTCTAAAAAATACCCCTTTGTCGTATCCCCTTAGTTTCAAGGCATCCCCCTTGTTGCCTCGGCCAGTATCGGAATCCTCGGTGTCGACATATCAAGTGACGCGCAGTTTCGTGGTCACTTGGAAGAGAAGGCCAAACTGGCCTCTAAAAAGCTTGGCGTGCTCAGCAGAGCGCGACATTATTTCATGCCGGCACACCGCCTGCAACTTTACAAGGCACAGGTTCGGCCACACATGGAATACTGTTTCCATTTCTAGGCTGGAGCTCCTCAGTACCAGCTCCAGCTGAGATGAAAAGAGGGGCAAAGACATACAATGCAGTTTCCCGCCCAACTCTTTCTTGAAGTCCCCTTCAGATTCCAAGATACGGAAGAAAACTCCTTTGTTGTTGCATCTCTTTGCATTTACTTTCGCATATACCATGGGAAGTGCTCTGAGGAATTGTTAGGATTAATCCCAGCCGCCAAATTTCGTGAACGCACTACGCGGCAAACGTCCCGATACCATCCACACCATCTGGATGCTTGGCGGTCCACCACTGTAGGTTTCACAAGGAGTTTTCTTCCGCGTACGACCTCTCTGTGGAATAGTTTATCACCGGCGATTTTTCCGGACCGATACGAACTGGGGACCTTCAAGAAAAGAGTTTACTCCTTTCTAAATGGCCGGCAACGCACCTGCGATTCCCCTGGTGTTGCGGTTGATCATGGGCTGCGGTAGTCTCTTAACATCAGGTGAGCCGCGTGCTCGTTTGCCACCTCTTCTATAAAAAAACCCACCTTCGGAGTCCACCATCAGCTAGGTGATATCATCATAGTCATCTAGGTCTTCATGAACCTTTTGTAAATAAATTTAAAAAAAAAACGATGGTTCTACGTAGCATCACTAAGATCCTTTACCCATCTTCTGATTCAATCATAAGGAAGGTGACATCATCACAGTCACCTTAGTCTTAATTCTCCATAAAACGAAATTCTCTAAATATATAAAATAATAAAAAATCTAAATAGCATAGAAATAATGTATGTAGCTACTAAGAAAGTAGGTACTTACCAGTAATTAAAACGAACTGGAATCTGAGTGCCATCAGTTAAAAATTTCAACTTAAAATTTCAGTCAGTCAGTTCAGTCAGTTTGATTGAGCAGTTTAAACTGACAGTGCGACCGAAAAAATCCGTGGGTTGTC